TGAGATTCATATTAGGAGTCCAAAGAATTTCCTCACTCTTCACATAAAAGAAAAACACCACGTACTGAAGGCTTAACTTGTGATTGCAACTATCATTTCAAAAGAAGTGTAGATGCTACCATGCCTCTTCTTTTTCTATTCTAACTCATGCAACCAAAAGCATGCTGGAGATACCAAAGACAGCTTATTAAATTAAATATATGTATGTTATACAGTGACTGTGGTCCTTCAGAGCTGCTTTACAGCTTGTGAAATACTAGTGCTTCATTTTTCATGTTTGTTAGTACATCTTGCAGATATGGCGTGCCACAGATTGTATTTTTTTTTCCAATGTGTCATTTAGAAAATGCCTACAGCAGAGAGAGAATGCTCTGCACAGGTATTGTTTTCCTGTTTGGTTATGTTCAGGACCACTGCTGCATGTAATGTTTGTGCTGTGGGCTGCAGGGTGGCTTTTCATCAAGTCACTGGTGTGGTTTTAGTGGAAACTCATGTTTAAATTATGAACCTCGTTTGAATTTAGGAAAATTTCACTTTAAAAATGCTTGTTAGCATGATGTAAGATGAAATAGGTGAAGTTGTAAAACAATTACTGGTGCTGATGTGTTTATTTTTATGTGGGTACTTGGACTTATGTTTGTTCTTTGTAGCAGAAATATTCATCTTCATTTTACTAAGAAACAAGACCCGTGCTTTTTGATACAGAATAGATATCCTGAATTAACTGGAAACCAAATGTATTTTCTGATGCTTTGTATAACATCGGTATTTCTCTTGTTGAGTTACCCTCTCAAATCTCTTACAGTTCCAACAATTCAAATATTTAGGCTGAAGTACGTGACGCTGCTTCAGTTTTCCTTGGAAGTTGAGATATGAAGTAACTGGTTCATAGGTCATCCTTGTTTAAACAATAATTAATAGATGGTGATATATTTAAAAAACTGAATAGGTTAAACGTATGGTTTTAATCTTTTTAAATTTCTAGCACAGGAAGTTTTGGATAACCTGAAGGATCGGTGGTACCAAGCTGACAACCCACCTCCTGATATGTTATTGAACGAGGAAGAGTTCTTATCCTTTCTTCATCCAGAGCACAGCAGGGGAATGCTGAAGTTTATGGTCAAAGAAATCATCCGAGATTTGGGTACACCATTTTAATAGATGTTTTCTTGGGAGGTGTTGTTAGATCACTGTAATGTCATGGCTCAGTCTGGAATTTTGGCATTTGTTGTTTATTCTGCTCTATACATATACCATTAGCATAAATGCTGGCATCTCTGTAGAGTTGTCTGTATATTATTCAAGACTAGATTTAACCTCTGCTTGTTAGAGAGCAGCACAGCATTATATATTACAAAGGTATTCTTAGTGCTTCTTACAGAGCAGCTCAGCTGACACCACACTACAGTGCTGCTGCTCTGTAGGGTCTCTGTAGCAATAGGAGAAAGCAGCTGATGAATATTAAAATATTGTAAAATATTGATGTGAATGCTCTGAGGAGGCAATACTTGCTTTATATTTCTGCAGCATAGCAACCATGTAGGAATTTTGATATATGCTGCTGAAAGTGGAAATACATGGTTGAGGTTTTCACCGATATTTCCACTAATATTTTTCCTATAGAGTCAATAGTTAGGCATGCTTGGAAGAAAAAAAAAAAAAAGAATAAGTGAACTCCTACTTAGCGAGTAGTTGATTTGATAAAGATGGAGTTTTACTTGAATCTAATAGAAGGCTGGATACAGCTGTCAAACACTTTATGCTGCAACAGATTAATTAAAAATAAATAAATGAAAATGAACGGCAACTATAAAATCAATCCCCAGCCTGCCAACTGGTGTGTCTTTCAGACACGGCTGAGTACTTTGTTTTTTGCATACTGACAGGTTCTAAAACACTGTGTGGGTGCCATAATAGAGCTTTCTGCTAACCCAAGTTACAAAAGGTAGCCAGTTCTTCTGTGGCATAGCCAGGATTGTGGACTGTGGAAACCAGGCCAACTGTATCACTAATGTGATAGACTAAATGTCTAATAGACATTAAACAGGTAAGTTTCAGTTACTGTGTATTTCTGTTGTAGATCAAGATGGAGATAAGAAACTTACCCTTTCAGAGTTCATTTCATTACCTGTCGGTACTGTAGAGAACCAGCAAGCTCAAGACATTGATGATGATTGGGTAAAAGACAGAAGGAAGGAATTTGAGGAGGTCATTGATGCTAACCATGATGGTATTGTCACAATGGAGGAGCTGGAGGTAAGTCTCCATCAAATAGTTCTAGTGTTTGTAAAATCAGTAGGTGTTTTTTAAATACAGGATTGAGACTGCTTTAGAGATCACAGAATCACAGAATGGCCAGGGTTGGAAGGGACCTCAGGGATCACAAATCTCCAACCCCTTGCCATACGCAGGGCCATCAACCTCCACATTTCATACCTGCCCAGGGTCCCATCCAACCTGGCCTTGAACAGCTCCAGGGGTGGACAGGGCATCCACAGCCTCTCTGGGCAGCTGTTCCAGCACCTCACCACTCTCATAGTAAAGAACCTAGAGATCGTGAAGTCCAGAAATACTTGAACTAGCAGTCTACCAAATCTTGGGCTGTAGTACTGTTCAGTGGTGCTCGGAGGAAGGATGTTGTAATCCTTTTTCTTGGAAGAGAATGACTTTTCCTAGCATTGCTATTGCTCGTAGGTATGCTTTTAGTGTTTGTTTTCTGTGTAATGTAGAAATGCTCGTATGGATATGCAGTGCATGAAAATAAGCCACGGATTTCATTTAATGGGACAATGAGTCATATTTACAAAACAAGTAACTGGCGATATGTTCATTTAAAAAAAATATAAATTCAAAAGTAAAATGAAGTAGCCCTGGGGCCTCACAGACTAGAGAATAGCAGAGATCTAGCGCCTTTCAGGGTGTTTTTCTTACCTTAAAATTATGTTTTTAAGTCTGGATTCTAGTTCATGGCATCTTTAGACTTGTATGCGGATGTAGGGATTTTTTCTGAATAATTCTGAAGTATCTACCAGAAGACATACGTGTTTGTAGTGATTGCTGATAATTTTCTTGTTCTAGGAATATATGGATCCTATGAATGAATACAATGCCCTAAATGAAGCGAAGCAAATGATAGCCGTTGCAGATGAAAATCAAAACCATCACTTAGAGCTGGAGGAGATCCTGAAATACAGCGAATACTTCACAGGCAGCAAACTTATGGACTATGCACGTAACGTCCATGAGGAGTTCTGACCTTGCTCGCTTTTCCAGAGCTCTGAAGCACTTTCCTGCTTTTGAAAAACAGAAAGAAAAAAAAAAATCAACACTCAAAGTTTCCTTGCTGCTATCTGTGTTATATGCGTACTGTGTTGTACTAAAAAAACCTTCCGTCCATATAGAAGATCTACAGCTTTTGTTGCCTTTGGTATGTAAAATGAAAAACCAAGTCCAAAAATAATGAGGCAGGTACTGGACTGCTTGAGTTCACCTTGTTTTATACAGTTAATCCAGCTGAAGTTCCAGCTGCTTTTGGCTAATTGCATTTGATGGAGGTATCTTAAATATTTAAATTGTTGCCCTCATAGCTGCTGATCCTTGGGAAATCACCAATAAACACTGAAAGATGTTGGTTTTTGTTAAGGGGACTATGATTCAGATAAGTGTTCTGACCGCATAAGGATATCCATTCATAGACTGATTGGGAATACTTCTGTTTTGCTCAGCAAATCATCTGTTTGTATTTTGTTTATGGTCATATCCATTTCAAAGTTTTGTGTTTTTTTAATTAAGAAAATCAGTAAATTGTATCAGGATGCTACTGCCTGGGCTGTTCTTGTTATGTGTGTTTTTTCCAGTCACGCTCAGTTCTTTTTTTACTGTTCACTGATTTGTGTAGTCAATACACATTTAATGATATCTGTACTCAGAATCAATGGCTTACTTGGTTATTGTCATTGTTTATGTCTTGAGATTCAGTTCTTACTGGATTTTCCTTCACTTAAAAATTGAGCACTGTTGTTGAGTAGTTATAGGAGTTAGTTCCAGCAAATGCTGTCCTTATGGTTTCTTCAGTAACTGTTGCAGGTATTCATGAATCAGGAGAAAAGATGATAGCCATATTCCTGAGATTCCTCATTCATCTGTGATAATCCAGTAGGTTTTTCAAGGCATCTCAACCTAGCTATGCGTTGTTGAGAATTTAATCCAGGTTCTCCTGCCATAATAGAATTTTGAGAGGTGTGAAAAGAACTTGCTTTAAATGTTAGAGGATCTTTTCTGCATCTTTAAAAAGAAAACTGGTGCCGGATTTTTTGTGTGTGTGCATTTCAGAGGGTGCACAGAGCAAGATCTATGATTCCTACTGAACTAAAATTGGTTGTTGAGACTGGTGTAGGTGCTTGTTTTTGTGCCAATTAGTGATGCTGATGAGCTCATGAACGTTAAGGTTGGGAGAAATATGTTCTTTGCTTTTGAATCACTTTTGACAGAGCAAAGTGCAGTCAGCACTTGAAGTCTTTTAATCAGTCTGTTTTTGGGTAATCCTTGTCAGTCTCATGCAACACAAAGGTCATTCCCACTACTGTCTAAATAAGGTATTTTTACGCTGGTTTACTGTAAAACCCTCTTTCTGAAGGGTTCCCCGAAAAATCCAGTTAAGATGTTATATTTGATTAAATTTATTCTCTTAATATAATGTAAATATAAGTATTACCATCTTTCTCTTTCAGTATTCCCTACTTTTTATTTGGTTTGTTTTTGTCAAATGGCTTGTTTCAGAGTCTTTATATACATATATCATTTTGTATTTTTTCTTTGTGGTTTGGAAATGTTCTGGTTTTAGTTTTCTCAATGAATGGGAAGAATTGAAACCCATCAGAGGAGAATTTCATTTGTATTAAAGCATCCTTAACAAGAATGTGAGTGCTTCATTGCTGATGTAACATTTTAGGAGTTCTCAGTTTAAATGTAGGTAGCAGACTCTTAACCATACCTTGCTTCTGAATATCATGAGTTTGCATTTTCAGTTTCTTACTGGAAAAAAAAGCCTCAGTATTGCTGGGGGGAATAACTGAGTCATGAGGCGTAAAGCCACTGAAGTGGCACTGAGTGCAATACTGCATGAGAAGGAGATTTGGATAACTCATGCATGCAGATTGAGTGTGAAGGTGGTTAAGTTCAGCTGCTTTACTTTCCCTCTCGGCTCTGTTTCCTTTTGGACGGATTGGCTTTCAGGTGTGACTTCTTTTCCCCAGTGATTGTTTTCCAGAATGCTTGGAAAACAGGAGAAGTAGAAAACTACCCTTTTGCCTTAGTATTCTGTTTTCCCTGCCACGTTTAAACAGACTGACAGAAATTGAAGAAATGAAAAGCAGCATTCCAGCTAAAATAGGTCAAGGGTGCTGCAGTTCAGACCTTTCTGGTTCTGCGGACTAACTGAGAGTCCCAAGTATAAGTCTGTTCCAGTTAGATTTTTCATGTTTACGTGTAGATAGACAATAGGTCCCCTTTGGGCAGTCTAGATGTGTTTTTAACTGATGAAAATAAAATATCCGGTTACTGTGGAACGTCTTATTTATTTGGGCTTTATGTAAGAGTTGTTGAAGTCTCTTGGCATGGGAAGACTTTTAAATTTGGGTTCTGTAGGATTCTGGTAATGAACCTCGAAAATGAGAGCCATGAATTTCTTAGTGCGATCTCCTTATTCTCTACTACGTGTCCTTCTTTAGGTGAGAGGTGGATTGCAGTGTCTGTGCTGTGTAAAAATAGGCATCAAAGATAGCTGGTACGTAAATATTGCATCCTTTGCTTTCACAGAGCACACCTCTACCAGAAAAAAATTCCCTCCGTTGGAGCAAATGGTAAAAGTGACACCAGTCTCTATTTTTGAGTCAGGAGCACTGATGGCAGTGCAGGGTGTGTGACATTACAAGTCCAGATGAAAAAACTGTGCAAGTACATCTCACAGCTTGTGCTAGTTTGGAGGATGATATGGAGGTGACTTCCTAAGCAGTGAAAGGTACTAACAATGTTGGTTTTTATGCAGGAGTAAAAGTGATAGCTGTACTGTTACGTGACGCTGAGGGGAGAGAATCTGTCTGTTACTTGCCTGTGAAGGAGTGAGTCTCTGCTGTTTCATTTTACCTGTGGCTCTGATATGTAATGGTTTTCTGGTGTTGCCTCTATTGCTTTAATTCTCTTTACAATAACAGAGAGCATCTCTTCTGTTTCTCCAGATGTTGCAACTGTGCTCTAGCAGTTGGCAGAGATGTGTACTAGGCTAGAGGCACACTCTTAAGACTAAGCTATAGCCTTCTTGTAATAGTACTTAGCTTGCTGTCTTTCTGCCTTTGAATACAGTTCTGAACTACAAAAAATGGGCTTGCCAGGGGGTGGGAAGAAATGTGAGGGCGTGGAACATATACTGGGAATTTCCCAGCAGCTGACATAAGAATTTGTTCTGATTGCCAGTGGTTTGCAATCAGTTCCTCCAAGAGTTTGCTGGTGACAAAATAGAGTTTCCTTTCCTAGGACAGAAGGGTTACGTGATGGTGGCTGCAGGTTTTTACTTGCGTTTTTCTACTGTCTTGTTCTTGCTGTTGGTGGTCACTTTTACCCATTGCTTGGGTTCGAAATGCAAAGAACATGAATATCCCTTTGGTACAAAATGCTGCAAGGACTGTGCACCTGGTAAGTAACCTTCACTGTATGTTTATTGTACTTGTTTGATATGGTATCAATCAATTAATATCTTACAAATGGTAGAAAATATCTTGATGCAAATATTCAAATTAGGAAGTATAACATGGGGAAAAAAACTTGAGGATTCTTCATCATTTTAGGCAGACAGGTTATCTTGTAACTTACTGAATTTATGAACCTCTAGAGATACAACATTTCATTTCTGTGGCTCAGTTTCCCTCCTGTGTCAGTTTGGTGCATTTTCACTGTGGAAGTGTTATCTGAGAAAAGATGGTAGGAATTGTTACCTATTAAAAAGGATTTCAACCCAGAAATCTTGAATAATGGCAAAAAAAACCCCAAAACTTTAGGTTATTCTTTTGCTATAGATGTTTTAGAAGCTTTTTTTTTTCTAGCAAGGCTTATTCTACTTACAGCTTGGTGTTTTTTAAGGAAAAAGGTAAACTATTAAACAAAAATTGAAGAACTATAAATGATAGGCACCCAACTTTCTGTTCTTGTTAGTCTGTGAGCAGATTCTACAAAGGTGCTTTCTCTTTTCATGACTGTCTACTACACAAAATCAATGTTCTGCAGTCTGTTGCAGTAGAAGTCGAACATGGTGTTGTCTTCAGATGCTAGTTGAAATAAGTTTGCGTTCAATATGAAACTTAAAACTTGAGACAGTCTCATTACTGCATTATTCCCAAAACTATGGAAACCTGAGTGTTTTTGGGCTCAGTTTAAGGGAACTTATGCTTGCACGCACATATAGAAGGTTGCTTATATCTCAATTATTTTGTTTCTCCTTGACCTACAAGATGGAGGATCAAAATGAAAGAAACAATCTGTGAGAATAAGGATTAGTTAAGGGTAGTATTTGACTTCAGCTGTACGATTCCTGGTCATTCAAGCTGATCACAGTTCCTGCAGCTTATGCTGTATGAAGAGAAGTTAGTGAGATAGAGGAATTTGATTCCTTCTCTAAATTTGGCCGTTAATCTGCTGTTTCATTTTGGGCAAGTGGTTTTGCTTTCTAACCTTGGCATCCAAGTGCATAAATCTGATCTTCTGTAATTGTGCTTGATATGATACTGATTAGTATCTGTGGGTGCAAGTGTTAGCTTGGTTATAAATGCAGTGTGAAATGCACCTATGCTCTTTGGAGTTGCAAGAAATGCCTGCCTTCCATCTTGTTCTGTCTCTGTGTATGAAGTGGAGCTAGTAATGTATTTGCTACTGATGCTAATACAGGTGAAACTTAAAATGCAGCCCCGTTCATTCATGTCTAATGGGCTTTAAGAATGCCAGCTTTGAGTTGAATTGCACGAAATATCCTACAAGGGAAGGCACAAAGCTTCAGTATTACACAGATAACAGATGATACTATGATTAAAAATGCTTTTTTTTTTTTTTACACTGGCTGGAAACTCCAATAGCTAAACCATATGAAGAAGTGGTTTGGAGAAATGATGCTTCAAATGCGCTGGGAGACTCATGTGGGCTCTCAAGTCTTTGCAAATTGCCAGGCCCCTACTAGCCTGTTTTCACTGCTTAATTTGTAGCTGATGCTATATAGAGCAACAGTTCTAGGGATTCTGGAATGTGTAAATCTGCTAAATATTTCAGCTAGAGTTGTAAGTGAAACTGTGACTTCCTGGACAGTTTGTTCTAGTGCATGATAAGAAAGAGGATTTCCTCCTTATAACAATCAGTTCTTCCTTCTATGTTGTCTGTATTTTAGGTGAAAGAATGAGAAGCCGCTGCACAGCAAAAACAGACACAGTTTGTGCCCCCTGTCAAGACAATTACTTTAGCACTGAGCACAATCACAGCTTCTGCAGGAGTTGTACAGTTTGTGACACTAGTAAGTCAGTTGTACTGGGGTCAGTTCTGGATATGAATTTGGGAGGGAGTTGATCTTCATATGCTTTCTCATCTCCTTGAGCTTCCCAAAGGCTGATGTCATACAGCCTGCCTCCTGAGAAGGCTAAGTCCAAAAACTTCATGGGCTACCATTTCAATAGCTGATGTCTCCTGGTTGATGTTGGTGGAGGAAAGCAGGCTTGTACTGTCTGAAAACTGATATTTCAAGCATTGCTGCCAAACTTTGTCCTCTGCAGTGTCTGCAGATTGTTTCTACACACAATTGGTAGGCCCTGAGTAGTGATTAATTGATGCTTTCAATTTCCCTTTCTCTTTTATTCTGCTGTTCGTAGAGAAGGGAAGCGTGGAAGTGAAGAAGTGTGAGAAGACCTCTGACAGAATTTGCAAGTGTATTCCTGGTTACATGCCAGATGTCAGATATACACTGGGAAGTGGTAAGTTAGGGGTGTATGAAACTGACTTCTTGGCTCCACTTCAGATGTGGCTATTTCTAGTACAAAAGCTGTCGTCATTTGTTTAATTGGAATCTGAAAGCAAGTATTACAGCAGGGCAGTTGTACAAACTGCTGCTCTGTAATTTGAGCTATCAGAAATTGTAATGTTCTGTCCATTAATATCTGTAATTAGCCCGTAGAAAAATCCTTGCAAGTTGCAGACTAAAATGAACCTCTGAGCATGTTGTGTTACTTCTGTCCCAGGGTAGATTACTGTTTCTGTAGGCTGTGGGTTTTGTTGGGTCCATTCTAGAAGCTGTTAGCAGCTCTGTGGTAGTTACACTATACAGCTACATTGCTAACTGAACTCAAATTCTGCTTTTTTCTTTCAGTGTGCTTACTGTGTCCTGAAGGGTTTTATTCCCCAGGAGGAAATGAAAGCTGTCGGCCTTGGACCAAGTATGTATCGCTCATCCCAACACTTTCAGAACAATAGTTTGAGTTTTATTCTGTAGCAATTAATGCTCAAGTCATGATCTGTGCAATAAACCAGCAGTGGATGCAGTAAAACCATGTTGCTGATGACGTAGGAGTCTTGAGTGGTCTACGCATTGTGCATCCATCCACCTTCTGCCCCTTCCTCTTTTCATATAGAGCAACAATATATGCAGCCCCTCTTTAAAATCTAGAGATGTCTATAACAAAAAGTTCCCTTGCCAAATGCTGCTGTGCTTCATGGCAGTTAAGTGCACAGATGGTGAGTAAAGCAGAACTTCATTTTTTCCAGTAATAGCTTTTGATTAACTTAATTCTTATTTACATATCTGTAGAACCTAGAAAAGCTGCAGGCCAAGTTCGCATTGATAAAACAAAGTTCACGGTTTTTCATTCACTTGTTCCACGGAGGTGGCTTATAAAGTCATTACTGTAACTACTTGAAAAACTAATGTATTTTATGTTTCTAGCTGCAGTGCTATTGGGAAAAATACTCTTCGAGCAGGGACAAAATCAGATAATGCTGTTTGCAGCAATAATGTGACATGGCCAGCTACCTCTCAAAGTGCAACACCTACTTTGCATATTTCCACCAACTACTACAGGAATAATACATCGACTGCAGTGCCTTCACCCTCCAAACCCAGTGTGAACCCTTCTGTTGTTCGCCCGGATGCAAACAGCCCCACAGGCACTAACTGGGGTAAGGAGAGGGAATGACCAAGCCTAGTCACTCTGAGAGCTGACTGAGAATTTTCACTTGAAGCTGATTTCATCAGAAATTGGTCTTTCTCGGAACACTTATCTGTATTTTACAGTCTTTAAGAAAGGCCTGTACAGGGTTCCAGACTATCTGCTAGTTTTCTTGATATGTGGAACTTCTGGGCTTTGTGGTTCAGGGTTACTGTTGCTCTAGCTGATTGAGATATGAGATCTGAAGTTCCAGGTTCCTTGTTTCAAAGCTAGAAAGCTGTGGAAATTCCATTTAAAATCGTAAGTCTTTGTTAATATTGTTTTTCTTCTGTTTTGTTTTTCCAGGGTCTCTATCGCTTATCCTGATTTGTCTGATATTGCTTATGGTGTCTGGAATATCCATTTTCATGTTGATTATCCAAGCAGCCAAAAGAGAGAACAAGAGGAGGCCTTGCAGGAACGACCATCAAAGTAAGTTGCTCTTTAGGGAGAAAAGTATATAGGAAAGAGAATAATCAGGGCCCTTTACTTGGACTTTGATCATTTCTATCATAATGAAGTCTACTTGGCTGAGTAGGACAGCGTCATCTGTGCTTAATGCCCACATTTAATCTTAGTCCCGATGTGCTGGAGGACATACAGCCTCAAGTTGGTGGTGTTAGAAAGCAGAAATTTGTTTGTCTGTTGCTATGCAGAAGGATTGAGTTTATAGTGTGCGAATGGAAATGGTGTGAAATTGTTCCTGTACAGCTTTTGATGTGAATCCTTGGAGCATTTACATCATTAACTGTTTGACTTGATTTGTGTTCTTTCTCTCTGATTTTTATCTCTTGTGTTCTGTCCCTGTAAAAAAAAAAAAAAAAAAAAACAAAAAACCCCACTGCCAACAGAAAGAAAAATCAGTTTGTGCATGGAATTCTATTCAGAGCAGTGAGGATCCAAAAGCAATTTTTTTTTTTTTTTTAAGGAGTAAATTATAGTTATTTTGCCTATATGAAAGTGAATTTTCTTCATGTGACTCTTGCAAACACGGGAATGGCTTGACTGAGAAGAACTGACCTCTATTTGTAATTAAATGGCAGTGTGCCTCTTACCTTGTGTTCTATTCATGAAGTAATGGTAAAATGTATTTTCCTTGTTTCCTACACTTGTTCTTTGCTAGGACAGACTGAAAGGACAACCACTGATCTAGATGTCACCTATAGGTGCCTATGCAACCACGAAACCAGGGAAGTCCATGACTTTCCTTTTCCTTCCCCTTCTGCTTTGCACAGTATTTCTGTTTTCTGTCTTTCAGAAAGGAGCTTTCGAATTCCTATCCAGGAAGAACAAGTTGACTCCAATTCCAGTCTCCTAAAAAACTGAATCCGCATCACTTTACTGCATCCTGCATTTCTGAGCCAGTCGATTGTAACAACCAGTGTGACAGAACTTTCAGTTGCTGTATGTGTGAATGGGTGTTAACTGTTCAATTGTACTTCAGTTCCTGTAGGTCTCACTGAGTGGCCCTTAGGCATTGTAGCTGTTCTTAGTGAGCTGTGATTCCTTTTCCTTAGATAGCTCCTACATGCAGCATCGCTGGTGCCAAGCCTCAGTTTATACAGTCCTTTGTGCATTTCTAACCAATTATATATGTAATGGAAGCCTGTTGTCTTTGGAAAGCAGGAAATCTTTATGAAGCAGTAAGCGATGATCACTGAGAAGATTGACAAACAGAAAATCAAAAGACCTGCTTTAATAACTAGACTTCTATCTCGTCCTGCAACTTTGAGATGCTAAGCAGAACACATCTCAGTGCAGCCCTTTTGGACTAACTCCCAATGGAGTTCTTTGCCTCTTAGGTGGAAAATCTCCACGAATGAACGTAACCAGCTTCTTTGGTGCTTCTGTATTTTTTTCCAGCTTTTTTCTTCTCACTCAAAATGAGTGGTATATGGCATCTGTGCCTCCAGAGGGAGTTGTCATAGCTGCTAATTCTGGTGGTGGTTTTTAAGTGACTTTTGATAAATGGCTATTTAGTGCCACTTCTTTCTTTTCTGCCTGTCTTCGAGGCAGACCTGTTGAGAAAATGTCGTGTTAAGTATTGAGCAGTATCACCGTAGACCAACAAATAGAATTATTAATGACTTCAAAATAGTTCAAGATCTCCAATTGTTCAGAACATCTACAGACATTCTCATGTGTATCAAAAGTAGAATCTGTGTAATTGCTGCCAGAAGGCAAAGGGAATGGTTTCTTCTTTTAGAATGTTATTAATGGAAACTGTAGTTCAAAATAGGGGGAAAGGCAGGATACACCTTGTCTGTGCTTTAGACTTTGGAAGTTGCTGTGAATAACTCGTGTTTTGTCTATAAACTCTGTGCAGTCAGCATACTTTTTGTTTCCTCTTTGTGGATGTTCTGTTGTGCTCAACGCCCTGGTGTGGCTGTCCCCAGCAAGGCTGTTTCAGTCAAGCTTCGACTTCTCTGCAGTAAAATAGTTTAAACTGCTTTTGTGGGATTTGATTGCTTGCTTCAAGGTAATGTGGATGCAGGGAGAAACCCAGGAGCAAGCTTGATTTGGGGAAAAACTTTTTATATCTTAGATTTAGTAGATGTACATGGACATGTAGAACTTCTGCTGGTGAATAATAACTTAGTGATAGTAACTCCCTAGATGTTCACTTCTTAAAAAGAAGAGCTAAATGTTTAACAGCATTGTGCATATGGATCTACAAGGGTTGCATTGTAGCAAAGGTGTCTGAAGATCACATAATAGTGGAGAGATGCATAAACCATGCTTTGGCTGCTTGTGTGGATGCTCACCTTGAATGTGCTGTCAGTGGAACCTCCATTCAGAACTGAAGAAATGTTCTTCATGTGGCTTGTGTGCAGTTGAAGCAGGCCTGGTTGTTTGCCTGCGTGCTGTATGAAATGAATTTTACTTCTGTTGTGTGTTTTTTTTTTTCTTCACAAGTTAATCAGAATCTGTCTTGGAGAGAACACTTAGAAAGCACACTGAAAATGTAATGCCTGAGGAAAAAACTGACATGTTACTGTGGATAGCTTTTGTTGTAATTTAAATACTTCAGTGTAAAAGTTTAGGTGAACTTGAAATTTATATAATTCAGAGGTATTTTTCACATCAAATGCTCTTTAGTAGGTAACTTGTTAGATGTAATAGCTATTTTATACACACAGTATTAAAGCATATGCCAAAGTATGCAGAAGGAAATGTATTCAAGAATACAACTGTTGGTTGAGAATCATGTTTTTAAACATATGTTTTGTTATATGTTATACATATGGTATACTTACTGGCTTCCTATTTTGAAGTGCATATACAATGTATGTATACATTTGTATTATATATGAAGTATAGTAGTGACTTTCAAATAAATTGTGGCAGTGGCTAGGTGCACACGTATGACTTGTATGTCTGTAGAATACATTGACTGAATCTGGGCTGGAGCGTAAGATGTGAATTGACTTTTCAATAGGTTTCTTACTGGGGCGTTTGATTACTGAACAAGATTCCTATGGTCCAGTTCTTTTGTTGAAGTCACCCTGGGGACCTTTGAGACTCTGCTGTTCATCCTGACCTGGAGTGATATCTTGTGATTTTACTAGCACCAATGAAAGGTGCTGTATTACCTGCTAATTAAGCTTGCTTAGGCCATGTTGTTGCACCAGCATAGCCACTGATTGCAGTGGGTACAGCCTGATCCCATGGACCCTGACCTACACTAAAAATTACTGTGTAATTTAGATCTGATCACAGTGACCCTAAGCTGCAAGAATGGTTTTGGGATGTAGTTGCTTCAAGTATAATACAAAAAGCAGGATTGCCAAATGGTCAAACCTGTGGCATAGCAGGCTTTATTTCAGTATGCTGTTTTGCTTCTGGCTGTCTGGGTGAAGCAAGCAAGCTGGCTTGCTCTGTAAATCACAAGTGGTAGCAGTCTGGCCTGAGAGCTGCTGGGAAGTTGGAGATGAGGCTCAGCCCCTTCAAAAACTTAGAGCCCAAGTTCTGAATGTAGAAGTCATGGGGAGTGCACTGTGGTTTAGATACCATCATCTCACTGTGAACTGGATGATAAGGCGCAGTGAATGATGCTGAGAAAGGATTCCTGGGAACGCCCAAGCAGTTCACAGGAACGATACTTAGAGAGTTTGTAGGCTGCACTTGGGAGCCAATAGTTCATACCATGCTTTCAGCATAATTGAGCAAGGCACAAATGCCTAATGAACTCACTGTGACTTAATGGCAAAAATGCAGCCCACAGGAACAGAGGAGGAGTTGGTGGAGGTGCTGCAGTGGGACTGGAGAGGCTCTGTGGCATGGGTTTATTTGCAGCTGCTTCTGTGAATTTTACTTCTTTTCTGCCCTCTGGCTGAGCTGCATGGGAACGTGTTCAAGTGCACTAATTTCTTGTGTCCTCCTGTAACCCCTTGATCAGATTTCCTGGAAACTGGGGCCTAGATAAATTGTTTTATCTGGAGAACAACTTGCAGCCTTTCAGTACCCAAAGGGAGCCTATAAAAAGGAGGGGAGTCAACTCTTTGAAAGGGTAGATAACAGCAGGACGAGGGAAAGTGGTTTTAAGTTGAGCGTGGGAAGACTTAGGTTGGATGTCAGGGGGAAGTTCTTTACAGAGAGAGTGGTAAGGTGCTGGAACAGCTGCCCAGAGAGGCTGTGGATGCCCCGTCCATCCCTGGAGGTGTTCAAGGCCAGGTTGGATGGGGCCCTGGGCAGCCTGAGCTGGTATGAAATGTGGAGGTTGGTGGCCCTGCCTGTGGCAGGAGGTTTAGAGATTCATGATCCTGAGGTCCCCTCCAAGCCTGGCCATTTTGTGACTGTGTGTGATTCTGATGTCCTTGGAAGTGCACAGCCAAGCTAGGACAGCTGAGCACAACTTGCAGTTGCTCATCAGTGAGGAAAACTGAAGAGGAAATCCAGCATGTCAGGTGGCTGAAGGTTTTTATGCTGATAAAATATGAGCCCACCTGTTCTGGCTGTATTGCTGTAGGACTTCTGTATCCAACATAATAATATTTGAAAAATAGCATGTTAGGTCTTGTTGCTCTTCTGTCAAAATTCTGAATGGGTTTCTCATTCCAGAATGAAAACTGTGGAACAAGCAAGCTGTAAAACCCCCAGTTAATAATAGGTACTGAATCCTGAACACCTTGGTGCTGCTTTCTGCCCACATTTGCGTCATCTTACGTGCCAGAAGTGGAACTTTCCCTTCTCAAAGATAGGAGCCTGTGTCACAAAGTGAGTTCCTGTTTTTCAACTGTCAGACTTGCCCTTTTTTCAGAAATACAGGTGGAGTTTTGCTACTCCTCTATGCTGATAATGATAAGGCTATACTACTTTTCCCAGTATAGGTGTCAGTTCTTTCCTATAGACCTCTCTTTCTAATTGTTAGGATGCCAGTTAGCATCTTTAATTCTGCAAACTACGCTTTTAATGTGAACTGTTTGGCAGAGCGATTGGTAAAGTTACAGGATTTGTAAGGTAAATGCATTTTAATTGCCATAGAGCCCTGATTTGGGAAGACATTTAAGCAACCTGCAAAACTTCTGCATGAATATTGTCACTAAAATTTGCCCAGTTGATTGTCCTAAGAAACACCTATAAGACAGACTACAGTGCCTATAATTTTGTATTTTGAAGTGAAGATAAAGCCAGTTTTTCCACTAATAATTCAACTGTGCACTATTCAGATGCACTAACCATGGCTTACAGGCCATGGGGCCAACATATTACATTTTTTTTGTTTGAAATTCTTCCCCTGCAGAGATGGGAATTCGGTCATGAGACTGCTACAGAAAACAGGAGGAAAAACAATCTTCCACTTTTGTCTATTTTATCTTTTCCTCCTAAAATATATGATGACTGCCCACTGTTGTGGCTACTGCCGATCCCTTCTATCATGCACTTTCTTGTCGTTATCACATTACATTTGCCCTGGAAGCGTATCAAAAGAACTCAAGTTTTCCATGAGAGACTTCAGAAAGATCACATTTTCTGATAACTGTGCCTAGTGATGAGTGGGGGGGCAAAGGCACAGCTTGGTAACGTCAAGGAGTGTGAGTTTTCTGCCTCTGTCTGGTTTCATAAAGTTTCCATTTATGAAATGTCACAGTTAGATTACAGCCTGTGCTCCTACCTTTTCCAGGAGTTGCTGCTTTGGTGGCTAGGCTGTAGGCAACTCAGAGAGGTGACTCATTTCATAGGCTAAAGCAGCGCTCTGCTGTGTGTGCAGCAGACTCCTTAGTGCTGTTCAAAGGTAGGATCCAGGAGTCTGGCTAATTTTTTCCAGGTGAAGAAAATTGAGCTTGCCTAGAAACCCACATGTGGCTTCATGTGAACCTCTTGTGCTGCTACAGGTCTGCAGGCCAGTAATGCTCCCCATGTGCCAAAAGAGGGCAGGCACTGAACAGGCACACTACAAGAACCCTAGGCTCTGAGAGCTGCCAGTACTGCAAGTTCTGCTTAGTCCAAAGTCTTGAGTCTGGGTTAAAGTTAATCCAGCAGAACTGCAAGGAGCATGTGACAGTTTTGTCTTCTAGTTTCCAACTGCAGCTGAGTTATTGTTCTGTAAGTTTTTTCTTCCCTGGTCTGTGGATGTTGTTGTATGTCATACGATATCCTGCTGAGCAAGAAAGGACTCAACAGATGAATGTCCTTGTGACACTGGGTTTACCATGTGCCTCATCTGCTTCTTTACATGTCTTGCAGCCCTTCAGAGCTGCTGCTCTGGCTCCCTGGCACAGCAAGTCATGCAACCACACGTGAGATGACCCTCCTGTAGCTGTCATGGCATAGTAAAGGGCTCTAGAATAAAGACTGGCAGATAGTTAGAGCCAAATCCTGTAAAACAGTGTGAATCCTCTAGCTAATGATGGAGTTATCTACCGTGGGGCAAAAGGAGCTGATAAGAGAGAGCTAACAAGGCAACATCTACCTTGATCTACTGTTAGTCATTCAAGAAATTACATAGATTTCATGTGAATAACCTCTTACTTGAAGAATTACATAGGTTGCTGTTTTGGTCAATGTCAGGAAACCTGACTTAGCATTGATAACACTGGGTAAAAACAGCATCAGTAAAGTTACTGAACTTTTAAGAAATAATTACATTTGAGAAGTAGTTACTTTTTTTTGTTGTTATCCCTGACCCCCAGCAAGCAAATTGGTACATCCAGTGACTCCAAAGAAGAAATCCAACTTTCCCAGGACTCTTGATGCATTGTGGCTCTATGCTCAGAATTGAGGCTCGTTTCTTGAAGACAGTCATAAAATACTGACCCCTTCATTCAAGGCTGAGGAATCAGTCCGTTTGAGACCATTCAGCTTGAATTCCAGTATGGTTCCTTGCAGTGTCTCTTTGAAGGGACAATGGCAGCAGCAAACTCTGAACCCCAAGGTATTTCTGAGCATCTCAGCTGATAGCTTCATCTCTTTGCCTGTTCTTGACAGTGCTGTGCCAGCTATGCCTTTTTACTTCATGCAAAGGAGAAAGCATGGGATGAAATGTACTCAGGCAACCGTGAAGACCACGTTGCTTCTTATGACCTTGTAATTTTGAACACAGGTCATATGGATTGACAGAAACTGCAGGCCTATGCTTGTCTAGGTGTATGGGAACTGCTGAATCATGGCCTGAACCTCTGATTGATCACCTGAGGTGAGCAATGAGTCAGCCCTGGGAGCACAGGTGAAAGCAATTCACCTGTGCTGCAGGAAGGGGTGGAGCCTGGCTCCACCTCTCCTAGACCCATTTAAGAGCTGACTACCAGTGGGGAAGGATCTCTTTCTGGAGATCCCTCCTTTGGAGTTTTACAGTGAGCCTAGGACAAGGGTAAGCACTCTATCTATTCTCTTTTTTGTATAATAGCCTGCTTAGCCAAACTCTGTTGTTCATTTCATAAGTATAACATCTGTGTAGTCATTGATTATACACTAGGAAACTGCAGACTGTAAGAATGACTGATTGCCAAAATTTCTAGTTTTAGTCATACGTTGTCTAGTTAATTCTGTAGCTGCTTCTTAATAAAACCACCAAACTGAAGGTGAGGAGATAAGAACTACTGCTGATTTGATTAGTGAAGTGGACATTTGTTCTGTCAACAGTTGCGGATCTGGCTCAGGTAGCAGCATGAGGCCTGGCAGCATCAACATGTGTCACATGTGGGACTGAGCAAGAAAGGAGTCAGCAGATGAAATGTCAGTACCTCAGAGACAGGTAAGATTAGCTTCAGAAAAACAGACAATTGAGTTGTCTGTTAAAGGTCACTGCTGACACTAGTGCTTTAGTTTTGATGTGGTTTTCTGACTGTAATGTTCCATCATCTGACAGTGCTTGTACCTAACTGTAGTAGTTCAGCAACAATGAAGATATGTGAAGACCAATTCATAAAGCACCAATACTGATTAACCTGTACAACATGCTGCAGCACTCGGTGCTTTTGCACTTAATAATTTGACTAGATTGTAGGACTGTAGACTCTTATGACCCTCACTGTCTTCAGAGGATGAGGTAGAGGTCTGTGTGCTGCTGACTGCTGTTGAAGAGAGATTTATTACAAATCCATGAACCACACTGGAAAAGCGTAGTTACACTGTCCATTCTCTCTTGTTGGAAGCAGAAAGAGGTTAGTTCAGGTGACTTTGCCTGCAGTTTGGTAAGCTCCTAACATGCAGAGGTGGGGATGAGCATCTCCCCCTAGCACACAAACTAGGTGCAGGCAGTCTCTCTCTCTCTCTCTCTCTCTCTCTCAAAAAAAAAAAAAAAGCTCCTAAAACAGCAGCAAAAGATAAATCAGGCCACAGGTCACATCCAACCTGATACATTGCTGAAAACTGAGAAGGCCTCTTACCACATCATCAAGCAATGCTGATCTCCATCACCTCAGCTTCTAGGGACCGTGGAGGAGAAAAATGTAGAAAGCAATGAAAAAAATGCATCTCTTCTTTGGAAAACCATCTCTTTTTGAAGTTGTCAGCTCACTATTGAAGGTGAGTACTCTCTTACAGTGAGTCTGGAGCTCCCAGTACAAGAAAGACAGGGAGCTGTTGGAGAGGGTCCAGAAGAGGGCCACAAAGATGATCAGGGGATCACCTCCCCTGTGAGGATAGGCTAAGGGAGCTGGGCTTGTTCAGCCTGGAGAAAAGAAGGCTGCGGGGTGATCTCATTGCAGCCTTTCAGTACCTAAAGGGGGCCTACAAGCAGGAGGAGAATCAACTCTTTTGAAAGGGTGAGTGACAGCAGGACAAGGGGAAATGGTTTGAAGTTGAGGGAAGGGAGATTTAGGTTGGACATCGGGGGAAATTCTTTACAGAGAGAGTGGTGAGGTACTGGAACAGCTGCCCAGAGAGGCTGTGGATGCCTTGTCCATCCCTGGACGTGTTCAAGGCCAGGTTGGATGGGGCCCTGGGCAGTCTGGTCTAGCATTAGGTGGAATGGTTGGTGGCCCTGCGTGTGGCAGGGGGTTGGAGATTCATGATCCCTGAGGTCCCTCCAACCCTGGCAATTCTGTGCTTCTGTGATTCTGTGACTGCACCTTCTTTTCTAGCCAAGAGAAGCCCCCTGGCCACTACCTGTAGCTTTTCATGTGTTGCCTAATACTTGTGATGCTGTTTGAATGAGCTGGTGGCAGGAACCCTAACACAGGATACCAGCACTTCGTAGCCAGCTGGGCAGCAGCAGGCTGAGTGTCTCTGGGTTTCCATGTAGCACGAGTGGTATGGGCTGTCAGTATTGTGAGGAGCAGTGCTGTGAGGGAAGAGGAGGGGATCTCCTGCATGGCTGACATACAAACTAGTAGGCTTGCAGTTTCAGAAGCACAACAGTTGGCCTTCTGAGGGTGTTTTCTGGGGAACCACTGGTTCTTGACATTTAGCCTGGTAGCAGCTAGATGGGATAAAAGCCTTTGGCAGAAAGGTTCTACCTAGAAGGATCTTTTGCATGCCAAATTTATCTGATTGCTTCCAGCTCGAGGCTGGAACACAGGTAGATAGATGACTGAATAGATCAAGGACCAAGTGAAGCATGTGCTGCTTTACCACTCCTTGAGATCTATGGATGAATCTTCAGGAAGAAAGCAAAGAACGCAGCAAAGGAGCAACAGTAGTATCTGTGTGGGAAACTTATTTAGACATCATTGGCTTGTATTAAAATAAAGAAACAATATAGCAAGGCCTCTGAAGAGCAAGTCAAATGCCAAGGTATGGTATTTTCCACTGAAACTCAACTCTCATTCTCCTTTGCCTTGACCTATGTGTCATCATATGCTGTGTGGAAAATGATCTGTTCCGAGCTCTTTGTGTCTGAATTCTTCTGTTCAGTTGAGAACAAGATTGGATTTTAAATATTGTCTTCACTATGCACATAAATGTAACCACAAAAAAGCAAGCTATCTAAACATGAAGCAGTGTTGGAAGTGTGTGTCTGTGTTTGTATAAGACGAGACAGTGTGAAATCTAAATCCAGCAGCAAGTCATGATTACAGGTGATGTCTGTACCTATGTGTAATTTTGGTACGACTTTGTTGAGGAGCTGTTTTCTGCTACTTGCATCCCAGGAAAGTGAGGACAGAGGATCTGCACGGGTCCCTGCAACTACTCTCAGTTATGGCATCAGGGCTGATCTTGGAGCAGTATTATTTCCTCTTGGTTCCATGGTGTCTGTATGGAGTTTCATCAGCCATGAAAATAAGAGTCTGCTGAACCAGTGTGAAGAACTTGATAACAACGGACAGAATCAGGAAAATATATGGATGTATGGCCTTACTGTACGCTGCATATCCGATAGCTAAATCCTTGAGTGTTCCTGAATTCTCTAGGAACTATAAGCCAGAACTAAATAGTCTGAAGTTCACACCGCACTTTAATTTGCATTAATTATCAATTGTATATCAACTTGCAAAATTCACTGAAAATCGAATTATGTGGTTCTGTATCTTACTCCTATCCTTATTCAAGTCACTGGCACATGATTGCTTAGCCCTCTAAGCATCTGATGGTGCAAAGCAAAAGCATTTCCCCGCCCAGGAAGAGCAAGCACACTACAAAAAGCGCGGTATCTTCCTATAGTCTCAGGTGGAGGAGAATTTTTGCAGGGGAAGTCCTGATAGAAACCCACCCTCACTTGTTTTGGGGCTGTAGAGTTTGAAACATGACTGTACGGAGAAGAAAAGTACGTCTCCTCAATACTCGAGCTTGCTTGCTGCTGGCAATGTACCTGTGGCACTGGGCACAACAGACTCTGGCAACGTCGTGCCCTGATGGTGAGCTGAGAGCAATTGCTAAAGATGTAAAGAAATGCTGCCCCAAATGCTTCTCCAACACAGGTAAGGGAATGATACGTTTGTCTTCTTTCAGGTGTGTATGTGTTTTGAGTAACTATGTATTCAAAACAAAACCATGAGGATTTCCTTCCTGCCCCACTAAATTCAAAATGTCCTTTAGCTTCAGAGTGGATGTGTATTGAAGATTTATGTGCCTGTGCTTCTTGCTCTGTAGTAGGAAATGGACTGGAGGAGGCAGCGTGTTCATTATCACAGTGACAAGTAGGACACTGGACCTGGTGGTGACTGTGGAGGAGATGGTGCCTGAATGAGCTTCTAGCAGCAAAGTCTTCAGTTCCTTACTGAGACTTCTTCAGATCAGCAAAGGGATGCAGAAAATTAGTGTGAATATAGTGAAGGAGAGGATCCCTTCTGCTTTATGGGCAGCCTTTGCTCTGTAGCTGGAGAATTGCTCGTTCCATGTGGACAGAAAGGCTGCTCCATCTCATGTAGCACTTGCCAGACGTGCTATCAAGACCACAGGGTATTTCTACTCCACTGAGATCAAATGATATAGGGTGCAGTAGGAGAGCCATTGCTTGGTGGGGTCTGCTCCAGAATCCGCCACTAGTAATACACAGAGAGAAGCATCCTGAAGCTGTTTCTTTTTTTGTTTTGTCTGCCTTCATTACGTTATCAAAACCAATAAGACGAGGCTAGAGGTGAGCAGAGGAAACCGTAGGCAGTTCCTGGTAGACCTGTACATTCCATCACCAATCTCAGGAAATAATCTTCGCAACTTGCTGTGGGTTTTTGAACCGTTTCCCTTGTTGTTTTTTTTTCTTTAGGGTCACAAAGCCTTTGAGTTGAATAGTATTTTCCTTTAACTGGTCTCCCACTGTTGAAAGAACTGCTTGATAGAACTGTTTGCTGATGGGATCAGTAGATGCAATTTCTCCTTTGCTTTCATGAACCCAGGAGCCTCACAATTAGAGATGACATTTGCAGGGAGAAAGCAAGATTCGCAGTAGAATTCTTCTGGAAACAGAGAATAGGAAGCATGTTGGTTTTATGGCTCAGATTTAGACTCCCTTCTTCCAGCAGAGTGTAGAAAATCACAGCTGCTGTTAGAAAAGGGAACTTGATCTTCATTGGCCGAGGGTCTTTTGAGCATCTCTGCTCTAATGATGTTGAGCTTGGCTGAGAAGAGCTCTGGCAGCATTCTGAGAGCTGACTGGATGGGTTATTAACGTGTTTCATGTGTTAGCCAGTCAGATGAATGGTGAAATGCACGTCAGTTACAAAGGCAACTCTAAATTCTCTCTTTCTTCTTTACAGGGGACAACAGCCCATGTGAAGAAGCAAAGGATGCAGACTGCAAGTGTCCTCAGGGATTCAGTTGTGCTGACAGGTCCTGTAGCTCCTGCAAGAAAACTGAATGTCCAGAGGGCAAGGAGCTGATTAGGCTAGGTAATAAAGAAACACAAATGTCTCTAAAAGGCAAAGCTTAATATAAGTATCTTGCTGAGCCGCAGTTCCATTCACGTATTTTAATCCACTTTTGGGAATGCTCGTGATATAAAGGAGAGAAATGGTGTTTATATCATGGCCTTAATGACTAAAGTCCCTGTGTGTCCAAAGATGCAAAACTGGCAAGAGCTGCTTGTACATCTCTTCTGGAGTGTGATTCATAAAGCAGAAAGACTCATCTAAGCTGTTGTACCTCAGTGTCTTTCGTTAAAGGCACTGACCACTAATAATTCATGTTCTCTTTTCTTATAGGTATCATTTACTATACATATTCATGTAAACCATGTGAGACAGGAACCTATTCTAATGGTAAGAACAGCTGGTGCCAAAGCTGGACTGAGTAAGTATTGATATTTTTGTTCCATGGTGATATGCATGACATATGTCAAATACTAATATTTAGATTGGTAAATTGAATCAGAGAGGAGGTCACCAGTGAGATTAAATGATTGAGCTTTTTAAATTCAGCAGTACAAATTTATATTCTGGCTTTTTAGCCAATCTCAAAGCAAACCTTAAAGTAAGCTGCTATGTATTAAGCCTGCTTTTAAGTCCAGCACAAACTGATACAAAATTATGCCAAACATGGACAACAGTTGTACCAAAAACTAAAAGAAATATGCATGTAGACAATTTTGATCTGGTGTTATCTTCTTATGGGGCAGCCATAATTTTACCTTCAATGCTATGAAAAAGAAACAAAGGAAATGAGCTATGGAAAGAGCAGTGGGAAGAAAGAAAGGAATCCAAAGAAAAAGCCTGGGGAGGAAAGAAAGAAAGGGCAGCATTCTAAACATGACTCTCTTTCTTCTTCTAGTTGTGAAAGTTCTGGCCTTCTAACAATCAAGCAAGGCAACAGCACACACAATTCGTTATGTGGCTACCTGGTTAAATATTTGGACCGAGGTATCAGCTCACAATGCTTTGTTTCTTTGAGCCTCCTCTTTCTTTCTACATCTGCATCTTGACCTCCTGTGTAGGTACTACCCAGAGCTTGCTATCATGCTAGCTTGCTTAGCTTGCTTTGAAAATGACTGTTGTGTTTTTACCAGTATTAATACAGGTTAGAATTGTTGACCCAGGCAACCAGCAATTGTCCTGAGAGCGCAGCTAGGAAACTCTCAATTTTCCACTGAATCTCTGCTGCTACTTAGTTAGATTTTTCTCAGAAGACAGTAGTTTAGTGGGTCATTCACTTCCTTTACAAGTATTTGTTCAGTCCACAACACTCAGAACTGAAACTGTGTGTCTCTTTGTAGATCAAACGGCACAGGAATGACTGTTTGGAAGTTTTGCAGGTACTGAACATCAGAGAAAGCTTCTGTGTCTACCTTTCCCTTACCCCTAGAGGGACCTTTCAGATCCCCGGGCCCTTCATTCAGAGGAACTATTAGTACTGCTGAGAGAAACTGCTGAAAGGTGCTACTTTTAATTTCTGTAGGGCTGACAGAAGTGTGAAAATTTGTCTTACTGTACTGCTTTTCAAGAAAGCATTGAAGGTGAATCCCCCTAAAGAGCAAAAATCAAAACAGTAGATAGAGCAAGTGATAGTGCTGCTTTTTGCATTAATGCTTTTTACTGCAGATAGTGATCCACTGCACCTTTGCCTGGAAGCACTCAGTTTTATTGCAAACTGCACTGCTTTTATCCCAGGCAAATAAATTTCCACAGAAAGAGGAAGTTAACCTTGAAATTTCCTTGGAAGCACTGTCTTTCCTTTGACATCTGGGCATGCGTTTTCTTATTCTGTATTGTATGTTTAATTGCAGACAGTGTTACAAATGATCCTCGGTACACCGCTATGCTGGCCATCCTGTCAGCAGTGGGTCTGTTTGTTCTCATCTTGCTGACCTTCTTCCTACATCTCTGCATATGGTCGCTGAAGAAAGAAAAACATCCCACAGCTGACAGTAAGTGTGCTTTGTGGGCCTCCCTGTGGTTTTTCAGTGGAGAACAGTGTGTGCTCCAGATTCAGAAGGGAGTAAGTTGAATAAATAGAGTAAATGCTGATTTTCTGTATGATTTTTGGACTAGTTACTTGCTTTCACTAAGATGCAGTGCCTCAGCTGTATCTTTCCCCCCCTACTCAGAGTGGGTCTTTGCTGGAAAAGGTAACGGGGCGACTGCGCTGTATGAAGACCTCTTGCATGTGCAGTGTTCTTGCTTCTTCTCACTGCAGATTTGGAACGTAACTTCTCTAAGCTGCCATTGGCTCCACAGCCATCCCACCACAAAGAAGAGACTTACAGCTGCCAGTACCCAGAAGAAGAACATGGAGACAAAATACTGGAAGAGAAACCTTACTACTTCCAACCTCCGAGTCTCCACTGAGAACAGATAAACTGCAATGTGCTGTGAGAACGAGGAGCTGAGCTCAGCTGTAAACCAAACAGGAGGGAGGGACTGGGTGCATAAGCATCACTATGTACATAGAAATAAGGAATGGGTTTGGGGGTAAGTTTTCATAGAATCCTAGAATGGCTTGGGTTGGAAGAGACCTGAGAGATCATCTAGTCCTACAGTGGGCAGGGTTGCCAACCACTAAATCAGGCACTGGGTCAGGCTGCCTAGAGCCCCATCCAACCTAGCCTGGAACACTCCAGGGATGGGACCTTCTGTGCTGCAAGCACACACTGCTGATTCATATCCAGCTTTTCACCCACTAGACTCCTCAAGTCCTTTTCTGCTGTTCTCATTGAATTCTTCTCTCAGTCTGTACACGTAGCTGGGATTGCCCCGACCCAAGTGCAGCACTTTGCACTTGACCTTGTTGAACCTCATTAAGTTCTCATGGGCTCACTTGCCAAACCTGTCCAGGTCCCTCTGGATGGCATTCTTTCCTTCTGCCGTATCAACTGCACCGCTCAGTTTGGTGCTGTCTGCAAACTTGCTGAGAGTGAGCTCGATCCAGCTGTTTATGTTACTGATAAAGATGTTGAAGATCTCTGGTCCCAGGATAGACCCCTGGGGGACACCACTCATTTCCAGCCTTCACTTAGACATAAAGTCACTGCCACAACGCTCTGGCTGCAACCATTCAACCAATTCCTTATCCATTGTATAGTCTACCCTTCAGATCTGTCTCTCTCCAATTTAGAGATAAGGATGTGGTGTGGGACCGTATTTTGCTTTGATTCTTCTTAACAAACCTAGCATTTAGAAACAAAGAACCTGGTAAGTCAGGCTGACGTTCTGTTCAGCTGCATTGCTTTGTACAGTTTATCTGAGCTGTGGGTTTTGATGTTTGGGGTTTTTTTAATTTTTTTTTGTTGATGCTTTTTTTAATGTTGCTTGGAACCAAGGATCCTTTTTGTCATTATTATTCCACTTTGCATGTTCTGCACACTCTTGTGTGGTGCTCCCATAGAATGACAGGTACCTAAAAGACCGATGTTCCACCATCAGTCCCTCCAGGGCTACAGGACATACAGTATTAATCATAGCCCCCTCCTTGTTAGGCAGCAAAGGGCCATTAATTTTAATCTATGGACCACTTTCCAGGTGCAACAGAAGTAACTTTTATCCCTGTTCTCCCCTGTAGCTCAGCAACCTTTGGTACCTGGAATAATGAATTAAATAGAAGAGGATTGTGATAGACTCCAGTGAGAATCATGCTGTTTAGAGAAAGACAAGACTTAATATACTCTGGAGAAAGCTGCTTGGAGTAGGCTCATGGCTAAGCCAAATCTGGACCAAAAGGAGTTTGAATCAGCCTTCAAGTTTCTAAATATCTCATTGCACCCCTTATGAGGTATTGTCTCCATGGTGTGGGTTGCACAATCTCTTGAAAAGAGGGTCCTGAAAAGTGGAATATTTCCTTCCTAACCTAGTCATGTGCTCCAAAGCTGTTTATTTCCAGTTGGTCTTTCTTGAAGCCTTCTTCAAAGGAGGAGCTTCTTGGCAAGCTTGAATAGACCTAAAGGATTAATTTCATGATTTATGGACGTTCTTTTGTTGCTGAACATTTCCTCAGCGATTATATCAAGAGGAGTTATCTTGTTGCTGTTACTTGTTGTTGTGCACTATAAAATCTTACAACTGGGTGAAACAGTTGTAGGGGAAAATGAAGTGCAAAGCATTATCCTTATCCAGTGTAATACATTCCTTCATAGCTCCTGTTTTAATCTTCTGTCTTCCCTGTTATTCCATATAGGACTGCTGATGTCCTTTTACCTTAGCTTTTCTATCTCATAAAATGGGAAGAGTGAGAGTTCTTAAAAGCATATTGTGAAACTTAATTGGTACTTCCAGTGTATTTTTGCCTTCTTTGATCCTTCTGCTGTTAATTTATGCATTGTTGATAATTTTTCCCATGGGTATTGCCATGTAAAATTCATTTGAAAAGTGTTTTCTTCCATTGCATTGAGAAACATGCAGATTTTTAACTGTGGTGAACTGGAGATTGATAAAAGGTGCCAAGCATTGGACTGGATGAAACAGGACTTAGTTTGATGTGTGAGTTTTAGACTTAGTTTGAAGTGTAAGATTGACTCTGACTTATAAGCAGATTTAATATACTCCGAAGTCTGAACTCTTGCTGATCAAGGTTCTTCTTACTGCTCTTGTGCTGGCCATGTTTACTCTCTGCTCTGTATGGAACCTTCATTTTTTAATATAGCGTGTTTTTCAATCAGTTCTTGGGTTATGACCCTTTGTAAAAGTAAAATAAATGCAACAATTGAATTAAGTGTGTATTTGATATAATTAAGCAAACTGGAAAGAAAAGGTTTTAATCTTGAGGTCATTTCAGAGTTCCTGAGAGTAATTCAGTTTTCCAACTCACTTCTGTCTTGCGGAATTTTGGCTATTTCAGTAATGTACCCCCAAACTCCTCTGTCATATTTCTGATTGGTGAACTTGTGTGTTTTCTCCTTTTTGAGTAAGTGGCTTAACATTTCCTGACTGGTGGATAAGCTGGAATTTCAGCTACCAGCAAGCAAAGTAACAGGAAACTCTGCTGGGCACTTATTCTGTTGCTGACAATGGCAGAGAAACAGCAACATTTTGGGCAAAACAAATGACGGAAGATGCTATCTGGAGGAAGAAAGACTCAAGCATCTAGATGAAGTCCCTGCCTGTGGCAACATATTGGGTAAATTGTGGTGAGGAGTGGAAGACTTCCTGGGCTGTGGGTGTTGAACAGCCAACAATTACTGCCAGTTAATACTGAAACATGATGAACAGAGCCATAATATCCACGGGAAATTTGCACAGTGGCCCCTCAGATTTCTATATGCCTACCTTGAAGAGCAGTTCTACTTCATACTTACCTAACCACCTGCCTCCATGGCTGGTAATTGATGGAAAAAGCAACCGATTTCCTGACTTCTTAGAGCTCAAATTAAAAGGGAAAAACCCAAAGTGTGAATCATTTAAGCCTTGGAGCATTCCAGTAAAGGAGCTGTACTTTGCATCAAAGAAAATGAAAGCTATCAGCTCAGAAGAGTGAGCTTGTGAGAAATCACTGTTTCAGTTTCCATTCAGAAAGAACCATAGGTTTATTTTATCGGTGCTCACTTGCAGCATTTTGGGAACATTTGGGTTGAACTGTGGCCTAATTTTCAGCTCAGTCCCAGTATTTATAGTTTCTCAAGTTATCAGTTGAGCTTCAGCTCGATCACTTGAGGTGGGCTTTGCCTAAGATTTGATTCCCTCAAATCATTCACATCCACAGAATGTCTACAGCAAGACTTTTTGCTTAAATCTACACAGAGAAAGTCCTGAAGTAGTATGAATGTGTAACAAACTTCACCCTGTTAAAACAAAAAGCTTTTAAACATCGATTATGATAAAGTTTGATACTTAGAAGTGGCTTGAAGACCTTCCCACACAGTTTTAGGAAACGCAGGGGTAGCAGTTAGGAGAATATGGTAATACCCCTTAAAGTAGTCATTTGCTTAATCTCAGACTGCTGTGTGTATTCATACAGGCTCAAAAAGATTTGATGATAAGTGATGATCAGAGGTGTTTGGGGCCCCACTGAGCCCTGGGGATTTCTACATATTTTAGCTGCAATTAAAAAAAAAAAAGTGAAAGAGTAACAGGATAAGAGAATTGCCTGAGGTACAGAAATGTATTCTCATAGCACAGGTTTTGCTCAAACAGAAAGTCACTAAGGATTTGTGCAGGCAGTGTTTTGTTATGCTGACTTGTCTGCTCGTGTTTTCTGCAAATTATTAGGATTTTGAAACTGGAGAAGGTAAAAGAAAGTATTTTCATAGGGCTTCCTTCCTCTTTTTTTTTTTTTCTGTTTCCTTCTCAAAGAAAGGGAAATTAGAAATCACACCTGTTTTTCTGAATAACTTCTGATGTTATTTTTTCCCCAGGTTCAGTCCAACATGGCAGAAGTTGGGAAAGCTTATAAGAGGCATAACTTATTTTGCTTGTGGACATACGTTTCTTTGTTTTTCCCAGATCTGTTGGCGTATCTGGTTTTACAGTATACCCAGCTTACCATTTTCTTGATTTACAGCTGGCCAGTGTAGGCTACGTAGATGGAAAGCTGGGATAAAATAGGGACCATGCACAGCTTTTTCAGGTGGCTTTGCAGACATCCCCTGGATGCAACCTGGATGATTAGCCTGCAGGTAACTGAGAACGTGGGTATGAAATGAAAGGCTTAATTATTCTGGTTTGCAGCAACGCTTCATTTTCCTTGCCACGTTGACGTGGAGTGTAAAGATGATTCTGAAGGTGTTCAAAATCCAAATGAAGTACTGTGAAAGCATCAAAATGAATAGATATAATTTGACCTGACCCCACTTTGAAGTGTTTGGGTTGTTCGTCTTGGAGGGCAGAAGGCAGTAAGGAGACTATGGGGACATGTCCTTGGGTTGGGTGAGGAAGAAAAGCAATTGGAAAGGGATTATTCACCATAGAGTATTGCTCTGTGCTGCCATTCAAAGAAAACGATGGCTTTTCAAAGCAATGGCTACTTGAGTGAGGCTGGAAAGTTGTTAAGTGTGGATGCTGCTTTCTATGCATGGTTTAAGCACAGGTTAATGGTTTTATTTGTATTACTTACAGAGTATTTTACAATGTTTCTTTCTTTTTTTTTTTTTTCTGAAAAGGATCAGGCAATAAATATAGCAAGCAAATTGAGAGAGATTTCTCATTGAGGCATATGTACAGCTGAGGTCAGAATCACAAGGTCCTACATCAATTGCAATGGCTCGTTCAAAACAGCAGCCAGCGAAGAATCATTCATCTGCAGGTCCTTATTCACCTCTCAGTCTGAAAGAAGCTTGGTTTCCAATTTCTAATCCCCTCTTATTCATTTTTGCAGCTTCTTTGCTTTTTATTGGGATGATATTCATGTTCCCTCTTCTTGTCAGTGTATGCCGACATCCTAATGATGTTGCCAGGATTTCTTAGGGATGATTGGTGGTGGCTGGAGTGTCACAGTATCAAGGTTTTTCTCTGGCTGGAACAGATAGCCAGAACATGTTTTTATCATGTGAATATACTATTTTTAACATGAATATTATCCGCCAAATATTTATACGCTAGAGAGTCACAAACTTGTCTGGAAAAAATACCTTCTGTAGGTGGAAGAGTAATTTTTCATAATCTTCTGCTGTGGAACAATTGATGAGGATTGGTTCTGTCAGGCTTCCTGCAAGACATCAGCAGGGAGCAGTTAGGAGCTGGATGTAAATGCCTATAGCAAGGGAAGTCACAGGGGCTGTTCCCACACAAGGTTAGATCCTCTCCCTCCAGCCAGCATCCTACTGTCAAGTTGATTTGGCTTTTAACCACAGGAAGGCTGAGATTCCCCAGGATAGAAAAGATGGAGGTCTGGGACTGGGCTGGCTGCTGGACTGAGCAGGGAAATGTGCAGAGCTATTACAACTTAGCAGCTGGAAAACCAAGAAGCCCCTAAAGAGCGTCTGTCTGTGGTTGCAACTAGAAGTGGAATCTGACTTTAGATACTGTCTGTTGTGGTAAATCCAAATGTCACATCTGTGAGAAGGATTCTGTGCTGAATCTGTGGGCACTGGAAGGCTCTTTGTTTCTTATAAAAGCAGTCTTTCCTTCCAGAAACTGCTACTTGGACTTACCTGTAATTTCAAGCTGTAACCTCCCCAGCACAGTGGATTTCTCCTTTGCCTGGATTCCCGTCAAGGGGAGTTTTCCCTTCAAAAATGAAAGGAAAACACTGCTTTTCAATGTGTGTTCCTTTTTCTCCCTGCTGTTGATTTTCATCACCCAGAGCTGTTCACCAGATCTCAGTTCTGTACTCATTTGACCATTTCTACTGTTTTCCTGTTACCTCATACGTGACTGTGGTTCTCTCCTCATCCACAGAAAGGAAAAGCAGGTCTTCTGGAAACAGGATCAGCAGCCTTTCCTTAGGATCCTGTGGAAAAGGGGTGATTAGAGACGTCATGACAACACCTCAAAACGTGGAGCTGCCTGCAGTGCCTTGGTGTGCCAGCCACAGACATTGTTCTTGGTATTAGTCAGCTTGGATAAGATATCACAGGATGAGCTGCGTTGTTTATATTTTTTTAGAAATACATCAGGCACATTCCCATAACAGAATGTTTAGAAAACTCGGTCCTTCCTGTGTAATAGGAAGGGGATAGACTCCCCCTCCCAGCTTCTTTGGAAGTTGAGTGCAACTGTCTGGACAAAGTTCTCAGAAGTGGCTCTCAGGAAAAAAAACCACCCTTTTGCATTTCCTTTTGTCTGTTTAATGCTGCGGGACTTTCAGCATAGTTAACCTTATGCTACCTTTTCTGTGGCCTGCCAAAGGCACAATAACACCAGGAACAACAGTCATAATGCTGCAAAATATTTTTTTTGGGGAACTACGCTTTATAGCTTTCTTTTTTTTTTTTTTTTTGCACCACATGAACCCTTAGTGAAACCTCAACTGGTTTGAACCTGGCCAAAGCCATCCAATATCAGAGCAGGATATGTTACCTCTGTGCAGCCAGTGGCCATTTGCACCATGGTCAGATACTGAATCCTTCCCAGGTGTTGAATTGGTCTTCCTTCCCATTTCAGAATGGTGTTGCACAAGAGATGTCTCATCAGCTCTCTTTTCTTCCACTGCTCATCACACGGCACCTTCATCAATTATTATTATTATTATTATTTTTAATGAAACAAAGGGTGATAAAAAAAAAACAACAAAGTATGATGTTTATCAGGATTACAGGGTGGTAGAAATATTTAGGTTATCCAAAACAGAAGAGATAGATATGGCTGAAGTACAGTGCTACCCTACAGACTGTGCCAAGCTAGACATCGAGGGCAGCTGAGTGGATATTTAAAGACAAAGAGGGAAACCTCAATTGCACTGTTAATAAACAGCACGAGGAAGAGGGGGAAAAAAGCAAGTTGGCCTTTCTTTTCGTTCACTTTAGGAACCTGAGCTTAGAACAACGCTGAGGAAAGCTTTGGGGAGGATGTTGAACACCCTAAGCCACATCCACGCGGTGCTAGCAGCGAAATCCTGCCATCTTGTGACTCTTGTGGATGCTGCAGTATGTTTTGTGTGCATTTGTAAGTCTGTGTGACAGCATGTATTGAAGGGTAAGTCTTTGTTTTTTGGCTGTAACTAAAAGGAATTGATTTATTATTTTTTTTTTTTAGCAGTGTAGCAGCTACATCTATGAAGAAAAACAATCAGCAGCGTGTCAAAAAACCTCCCCTGAACTGAGAGCAACATTTGCAAGTGTTCAGTGATAAAGCGTTGTGGGTAGCAAGTTTATTTTAGCCTAGACAGAATCGACATCATTCTTGAGTAAAGTCACTGTTCAGTTTCAGCCTGTATTCTAAAGATCCCTGAAAATTCATTTCCAGAGCTGCCACTGTTTCCTATGTTCAGCCCCTTCTCTTTACATCTATTCCCCACCGACTTACCAGGAAAGAGATGTTATTGGTGGGACTGACTGAGTAGTTAGCATTTGCCATCTTGATTTGGTTCTGGAGGCACTGAATCCATTTGTCAAAGTTGGCTGAATTTTGGCAGCAAACGAGCCGGGATTCCATCATGGGCCCTGTGCAAAGACACAACGTGCCCTGGCTCTGAAGAAGGATGGCATTTGAACCCGGTGGATGAATTCTGTGACTGTCGCAGCCCCTACAGAAGCTGTCCAGCAGGCTTACCAGAAATTTCGAAGGTGTAGCTGATGGCAGTCACAACCTCCCTCAGGTGCATCCCAGCAAGAGGAACGAGACCCTGGTGTGATGGGAACGGTGTTAAAAGTCAGTTGGTAAGAATAACCAAGAATGATGTAGGAAAGTACTGTGTGTGAACTAGATCCGATTTCATCTGCCTTGCAGCCTCTTTAGTTTCTCCCCATGCTTCCCAGCCATGCCAGAAAAGATGATGTTCATATTAAGGACAAAGCAACCTTGTCCTCATTTTTTCTTTTATTTCATTACATGATGATCACTTTTCTGTGCCACCCTCTTATTCCGCTCAGCTGGATGTGGAATTTTATCATCTCCAGCGTTATACAGCTCAGTTCCTGCAGCTGGAAGTCTCTTAATTTGTCTTTTCCCCTCATGTTTAGGATCCACAGACGTGTACCAAAGCCATTGGGAGGCACTGCAGTGCTGAGGGCAGCTCTTCTGGATGTATGTCTTTTGTACCCTGTGCCTGCCCACTCCTGTACCTTTCCTAGCTCTCCTCCTCCTGTCACCTCCTGTTCTTATCACCTTCTCTTGATGCCTTCTGGTTGATGCTTAACTCTCTGGTAGGGAGCTGCACTCCCTCTCCTTGGGGAAGCAAAGCGGCTGTGATAAGAGGCCAACTAAAATTACAGAATATAATATAAATAGAAACTGGCACTTCCTCTTCAATCTCTGGAGCAGACGCTCTTCCCTATTCAAAATAAGCTGAAAAAAAAAAAAAATAGAGAATTTTGAGCTACTGTCCTAGAAAATATGCCAAAGCCCCACTGAAATCAGTGAAGTGTCTGCCTTGGCTGGTGGGGCCAAAACATGTGAGCTCCATCCTGAGCCTTGCTCTTGGCACAGCACCGAGGAGGAAGCTTTCCTTTTGCCATGCATATGCTAGAGCTGTGAGCAAAGAGAGATTTGGGAAACCATGACAATGAGCGTGAATGCAAGGCACAGAGGATTCTTATGCTTTACCTCATAAACAAATGCCTTCTTTGTGTGATCCACAGAAAGAATCAGCAGGTGGAAGGAGGTCAGCATGAGGTAGCGTTCAGCCATCTCCTGTTGGAATAAGACCAGTCGCATCTCTCCTCCACAACATTTCAATTTTTTTTTTCTTTTAAAGAAGAAGGAAATTACATTTCTTCAAAGCTCTCCACTTTCCCTTCCTCTCTCCTCACGCAATATTGGCACATCACCACGTGCAGTGCTGATTGATTGACAGCTGTCTGCAGGATGACGGGGAGCTCTGCAGTGCTTAGCTGCTGGGTTGGCTTGCACTACTGCATCACACCTTGGGTGAGAACATTTAAGATTGGGCTGGACCAGGCTCCGAGCACCTGAGTTAGCTGTGGGTGTCCCTATTCATTGCAGGGAAGTGGAACCAATGACCTTCAAAGGTCCCTTCCAGCATAGAATGATTCTATGACTCTACTCTGTAATTTTATTTTGTCTTCCCAGCTAAATGAGCCTGTGCTTAAAGAGGCGTGAATCCAAGGCAAAGTTAGAACAGGTCTCAGTTCCCTCTTCTGGTTTCGTCAACACCACTGTAATGGTTGTCACCCCTCAGTGCTTTCACCACTCAGCTCCAGTTCCCGTGGAGAGGGCTTGAGCGTCACACGTACAGATTTGCAACCCTCACAACGTTATCTCTTAGGGGAAAAGAATTAAAAAAAGTCTTCTGACAAAAAGGATATTTTTATCAGAATGAATGAACGAAAAGTCGTGCTGCTCAAGCAAGTGGCTATGAAATCCTTTCAGCTCTTGCTGGCACTGGTGGAATGAAAATTGAATTTAATAGCATTAATTCTTGGGGGGAGAAAGGGGAAGTCAGGGGAAATCGTGGCTTTGGTCAAGCACCGGTTTGACAGTAATTTGAGGAGGATATTTGAAATTCAAATCCAGCTCATCTTTTGTCTCCCAAGGGAAAAATCCCCTGCATATTACCGCGGTCGCAGTGTGATGATGATGATTACCTCCATGTGATAACTTCTCAGAAAAACCCAGGAGGACCAAACGATCTCCCCGAGAGAAAGGATGTTCCTGCCTTCCCAGCCAGCGATGGGCTGAGCGATCAACAAGTTCAGCAGTTCTTCCTGTGTTTTTCCCCACAGCGCTTCTGCCTGGGAAAAAAAAAAAGAAAAAAGACAAAATAGCGAGTATTTCTTCCCGAAATCATGCTAGGAATATCCTGTAGAGATAATCAGAAGAGAAAAAATGGAATCTAGAGTCAAGCGATGCTGATGTATAAATAAGGTAAAAGAGAGAACAGGTAATTTTGCAGTCCAGACCACAGGAGGTTTGGATGTTGACATATCTATGTGACTTGTATAGAACATTTCCTCTCTCTCAGCATGCTCTCAGCAATGGGATAAAGCACAGTCCTAGGAAACACTTCTGCACTGATGGTGGTGATGGATTTTCTTGCATGTGAATTTGTTGAGCAAAAACTGAGACAAACTGATTTCTTCCCTGGTGTACTCCATATGAATCTTTGCCTGTGTGTGCCTGCTCACACTCACCCCTTCTGTCGTTGTGGAAATTGCAGGGTCCTTAGGTTGGAGGGATCCCTCGCTCTGGCCGTCTGAAATGGACCATTTTCTGTAATGGAAGAGATTGTGGAAAGGCATAGGAAAGCATTTACGTGTGTTGTTTGAAAGAGAGAGAATAATTCATGCTCAGTCAGCAGACACACTTCTGGATTTCTGGCATGAATTTTGTGTATTTTAGAGTATTCTATTTTAAGCTGGAATACCGGCTGGGTGCAGCTCAGTGAAATCTAGGGGAAAAAAAATGCAGCAGATGCAGAATTGGAAAACAGGCATGTCAAAGGAATAGCGAAGCTGAAGCTATAATGAAAATACTGTCAAAGATCCCTTTACTTTAAGCAAGTATCATGGCCTAAAATTCATCAGAGCATTTAGACTCCCAGTTTTCCCCTGGCATTGAGTGGGAAGGACTTGCAGAGATGATGAGGGCACTCTGTGCACCTGCCTTAATAGATAGGGAAAGCATAACTGCAGTTCCTGGTGAAATTATGGAAGGAAACGCAGCTCAGTGCAGATATAAAAGACCACAAGAAAGAGGAGGGGAAACGTATTTTCTTTTAGTTTGTGGTAGGTAAGGAGGTACAGACAACGGACTCATCTGCGTTGGGGGTTAGCTGAGGGGGAGAAACCATGGCTTATTTGGGATGTTGCTGAACCTTCATGACTGGAGGTTCAGGGCATCTGCCAAACAAGATGTGGGAAGGGCTGAAGCTGCTGATGGCTCTGAGCCTCCTGCAAGGCCTGCAGGCTGACCCTGCCTGTGTGATGGGGTCCAAAACCACCTGCTTCCAACAGAGCACGAGCCGAGGGGGTGGTGGTGATTGCCCCCAGTAGAAGGGTTACCTCCATGGCAGGAGGAGATGAGGCTGTGTCACCTAACGGGGCCTATTAAGGAGAAGTAAGCAGGCTCTGTTTAGGAGAAGTATCTGACATTTAACATTACTGTAAATTCTGGCTAGAAAAGGGGAAGAAGAGAAAGCTCTCAAGCGAGTCACATTTAGCAAGCAAAAACAGCCACTGGGTCACAGTTGCCAGCAAGAAATGCCTTTCTGTCTGCGCAAAGACCATCAGTGTTTCTCACCCCTCTGCTCCCTACCTGGTCCTGCCCGTCTTCAACAGCTCCACCTCATCTTGGCTTTCTCCCACAGAACCAGCATGCCTGGCTCTCAGGCTGCAGCATCCCATGCTGGCTCAGCGGCCGCCTCGTCCTCCAGCACTGTCTTCAAAGCGCTGCTGCAGCGCAGGGATGGCATGAATGGCAGGCAGGGTGAGCGAGGGAAGGAAGCACGCATGCAACTCGCTGTTCATTTAAATTCTTCTTAGCTTAGAAGTGGCAGCACCCGAGATGTGAAAGCATTTCCTGTGGGTTTTAAAGCTCTCTCCCCACTTCTTGTCTCCTAGGTCCCCCAGGCGTCACTGCTTCCTTCAGAGCTGATGGCCCGATGCGATAAGCGTGTGCTGCTGTGTAGCTGTCACCTCAGCCAAACGAAAACCGAAAGAGGTTCTTAATGAAATGAGGTTAAATGTGCGAGGAACATCTGGTGAGGGAGGAGCTGGCTGTGCAGCTGGCGACGAGCTATGGGGAGCTGCAGGACCAGCTGAGGGGGTTCCGCGTTAAGCCTTGGGTTTGGTCTATCAGCAGCTCTCCTTGCCTCTTTTTAAAAGGGCTTTATTAAGTGTTTTGGGCTGCAGTGTCAGATCAGCATTGCTTTTGGAAGGATGGGGTTTGGCATGTCTCGTTTTCTCTAACTTCTCCGTTGGCTGACTGATGGAAGCATTGCTTTCTGCAGAAATATTAGCACTCACACTTGCTGGTTTTCTGAGCTGAGGTTGATACCCATCTGTTTCTACCAGGTGAAAAAGAGCATAACATGCACAGTGCATAAAGCTTAACTTTTATTTTCTTTCTGTCTCTCTGAAGTTGTGAAAAGCCTTTTGCTCTGTGACCCAGTGTGGTTATCTGTGGTGATCAAACTGTTGCACGTGCAGTATGGTTAGGACAGCTCGCTGACTGCCTTTTGTAGGCAGCAAGGCATTCTTTCTTCTGAAGCAGCTGAGCTCCTGGGGACAGGCCTGCAGCTTTGGCAGGGCTGTACCTGAAGTGCCCGGTGCTGTCTGTGTGTGGCCTCAGGTACCTTCCTGTGCACGACCTGGTGCTAAGCTTCCGAGGTTGCTTCTGGCCCAGGTCTGCAGCATCCTCATTGTAAAGAAGCACAAAGCGGCAGAGCGTCTTCAAAGGCAACACGTTCTGTCCCTTGAGGCACTTGGTGAAGATCTCGAGAACCAGATCTAGAAGAGATCTGCAGTTATGACGTGGACTGATGGCAACGTGCACCCCAAACTCATCATATTACTCCTAAAAATAATAATTTTTTTAGAAAGGAACCACTTATTTCTAACGTGATCACAGCTTTCCTGCATCTGCACTGGGTAGAATTTTCACTGCCTTTTCTATGAGCAACAAACTCAGCAGCAAGATCTCCTTATTCTGTATTTTGGAGCTACAAATGGTATCAACAGGAGGCTTTCCTCTGCCAAGCAGTGTTGTGATGTGATTGCTTGTTACTGACCACCCTGTGACTCCTTTGCTTACCGAGACTCTCGTAGATGATGCTGGGGATGATGTCTCTCAAGACTTTGCAGTTGGTGTGCAGTGCAGGGTTTGCATTCATCTCCAGAAGCCAGACCTAGGAAAGGTGAACAGCCATCAGGAAAACAGGCTGGATCTCCTCAGAGCTGCAGTGATGCCATTTTATTGACTTAGTGAGCAGCTGGAAGTGCAGGAATGCTAATAAATCCCAACATGATCCTCTAGCACAGAGTGCAGGTAAGACAGCATCTTCACAAGGACTGGAGGAATCATTACATTTCATTACTTTAGAGTAACACCACACATTATTTTATGTTTCTAGCCGATATTCAGGTTAAACTCCTGCTCTGTGGGTGTGCTAAGGCACTGTTTTGTCTCTTATCACACCAATTTCTATAGCGGTTTCAAGGTTTTTAAATAACGTGAAAGGAAGTTACAAGGAATCTAGTAATCATGTCTTTGATTTGAGGTGGACATGGGGTCAAGACCAAGCAAACACAGCACCAAGCTCTCAATTAACCCCTGGCCTTTGATTTCCTGGATAAACTTTGGTGTTAGGTAGAAGCCGTAGAAGATATTTGCACACCTCTACCAATTTCAGCTCGACTTCTCTTTGACACACTGAAGTCTGCAGCTCTGAGCTGTGCCACACGATGGTCCAGTTGCAAGTCTGCGTGAAAGCAAACAGTTGAACTCAATGCAATTCTGTTTACTGTTTCTTTTTCCTGCCACGAGAGAAAAACTCATCTGTTTGCTTCCTGCCTTTACCATATGGTGCTGCATCTTGCAAAGACGACGTATAGGAACTATTTGATGTTTTTTTTCAGGAAGGATGTTTAATCATTCAACAGCCCCGGGTGAATTTTACTCTCTTTTAATTGATGTTTAAAAACATACACACTGCGGTCGTGCTTTTTTGTTGTTTTTCTTTTCCTGAAGCAGCAGTGAGTTTGCCTGCAAGCAACTGAGAGATGTGGGTGGTAGGTTTTGGCAACACGATAGCTTTCACTTTTGCACTTCATTTTGCTGCAAATAAAATGCAACAAGAATTTTCACATTCCTTTCAGTACCATATTTCAGAGAAGGTTTGTAAGTGAGGGTGCTGAAATGTCTGTGGGTTTTGCTTCTTTCCAGAGAGAAACTGCTGAGAAATAACCTGCTCTGCAGATGCCAACAGAGGGCACCTACGTCACGTTTATTTTTCTTGGCAAACTCTCTTATTTCTGAGCAAATTTCCTTTTTCCTATTAAAAGTTCGTAAGGTTTTCTGCTGACAGACAAACTCAATGAACCTTTGTAATTGTCTTGACTGGGTTTTGGTTTCTTCTCCTTCAAAACAAACAGGAGGAGGTGTTCACATCTATTATACTGTCTGTCTCCTACACTCCCTATTATTGTACCAGTGTGTGTCACAGTTGTATAAAATGCCCTTAACCTCTTTTGTTCTGTTTCAGGAAGAACATAAAGTCAAGATCCAGCATATCATGTCATTCATGCGGATTTCGTGTAGAATTTGAGCAGCTGAGCCTCCTCCCTGCATCTGGTATGTAGCCAATGGGGTTCTGTGTTCTCTGGTTTTTGTCAGATTTCTCATGCTGATGACCTGCAGTGGCACTCCCAGCTTTGCAGCATCCGTGTGGCATCTCATAACGCTGGGGTGAGGGAGAAGCTGTGTCATTCCAATCAAAGGGACCATCCCTACTTTCACAAGGGTTATCTTGTTTTATATACACCTGCCACAAATTGGCAAATGGCTTATCTGCGTTCAGCCTGTTCTCTGGTGATAGATAGCTGAGTCCCTTTATGGCTGATAAAAAATTTAGGCATCTATCTTCCCAGCATTCCTTTGCAGAGCCCTTTTGCACAGCTGATGCAATGCTTTCTGAAGGCAGGTTCCTTGGGCACTTAAATGGCTGTGTCCTAAGCTGTGTATTAACTTTGGCATTTACAGTACAGAAAGCCCCAGAAACCAGAAAAGGAGGGGGTTAAAAAAAAAAAAAGTAACAGTAAAACCACATCCATCATTTATGTTCTCTTTCCTCCTCTTCTCATCCTGCACATGAAGTTTGCAAAGCTCTGCTGAAAGCTGTGGTTTCTCTGCATGCTCTGCTTTTGTGGTCCATGCTCCTAAGAACTGAGAGGCAGGAAAACACCTTCAAGAACTAGATTGGGATGCTTCAGGGCCTTCAGAAATGGTCAGGAGTGATACTGGGGGCATTTTTATCTCAGGAAAATAAAGCAGAGGGAATAGCATGATGAGGCATAGAACTAAACGCAAGGCTGTGTTAAATCAATGCAAAGCAAATTCTACACGTGTCATCAAATGGGATGGCAGTCCCAACTGACCACATCACCACTAAGCGTCCTGAAATCCTCATCATGTTTTTAGAAAACACTTGTCAGGAAACACATTTTGTTTTTCTCTCCGTATGTAAAATGCATGGGGATGTAATGGTCTTTAATTACTGAAGTTTTGAACTGGCCAGGTAGGGATTGCCACAATAGAGTGATATTGGATCTTCCATTCTACTTCAAGTTTGCACAGCCAGTGCTTTGCATGCCAACATTGCAAAAGACAATTGCTTCTGAAATTTGAGAAGCACCAGTTTCTGTGTCTTTCCCATTTGCTCCCCATTGCCATTGACTTCCCCATACAAAGGAGGCCATTGTCTGGGTGCCTTGCCCAGTGCTGCATACATTAATTCCATTCTTTCACTGGGTTTGCTGTTCCCACTGCACTTTGCTGGAATAAGTTTGAGTTCCTTAATGCTTTAGCAACAGCAAAATCTGCCAGATGGCTTTCTGTTATGCTTAGACCAGGTGGTTTTGAAGGACTGCCTGCACTGAAAGCAGTCCAATCACTGTACTTAACATTTCCCTTTCTTCTGGCTTTCCTTCCCTGCGTTTCGTTCACTCTTCAAGAGTGTGAGCTGTAATTCTACAGCAGGTTTTATAGCCTTGACGGGCTAACCTATTGCTAAATGGTAAACCTACAGTGAATGTGGAGGTGCTGATGCTGACATCTGAATCGATAATGACTGATTCTGCAGGGTGGGGATGGCAAATTCCTTCTTGGATTCTCAGCTTGTGTAAATCAGTATTCTTCACGTGGCGTTAGAGGCATTACAAACTGATTTATGCTGGCTGATTATCTGTCATGTTTGGTTTCTAGAGTGAAAAATATTGAATGGCATTAAAATTCCCTTACTTTCACTGTGAACTGAGTAGATATGAAGATTCCTGTATTTTTCACTACTCCACTTTCCTGTGAAAATTCTGCACAGAGACGTTTCTGCTGCAGTTAAAGATTTTTCTTCCCCTCTTGAGCTGTCATTGCCAGGGTTTCTTTGTGCAGGCTGCATAGGTGCCATATCTGGATGTTGGACAATAGAACTGGAGAAAGAAACGAATCCTGCCCTTCATGGCTGGCTGAGTGGATGCTCTGTTTAATTCCTAGTGCCAGAGTCAATGTTAACCATCCTACATTGCTGGCATTAGACATCTGGCCAATATCATACTTAGTATTTGGCAATATTTTATTCATACCTTAAAGTTTTCATCAATCAAAAAGTCGCAGCCAATGAGATCAAAGTAGCCCAGTTTACGATCCAGTTTGTGCTTGGCTGCCAGGAAGCACTGCAACATGATCTGCTGCATCCTTTTCTGAAAGATAGGGATCAGGGGTAACTAATCATTGTCAATGCCAAGGATACAGGGGTCACCACAAGTCATTGCTCTCCTCTTGGCTTAGGGACACTTTTTCTTCCCCTCTAGACTTGGATGGAGGCTGTATTTTGGAAACTGTACATCTATCCACTTTGAGTTGAAGGAAGCCTCCTCCCTTTATCAGGGCTTTACCCATTTTATTAACTACTGAAATTAAACTCTGTCTTGACTTCTGTTTATCATCTGCAGGCAAACAGTTACCATGGGACCATGGATGCCTTCCCACTTGGTACATATGTTTCCTTGGGGACTCCCCTGAACTGGAGGTTTTTGTCCCTATTCCCATCACCCTAATTAGGCTAGGCAGACAAGCACACCACGAACTTGCTTGCACTCACAGTAAACACAGTGAAAACCCAGTCCTGTGGGAGGCCATTGGTTTTCCCAAACTTCTCATTAATGTAGCTGTTGAAGTGCTCCATCTGCCAAACTGTCTCATCCTTCAGCTGGCTGTAGAGGGAGTTCTTCTTCTGCACGTACTGCAAGGTGGGGAGCAGAGTGAGGGGAGGATTAAAGAGTAACAGGAAACATGCATGGCAGGCGTCCCTCTATCCTGATCTGCTCCAGGGATGGAGTTGGGGAGAGCCTGGATCACGTTATTGATGGGAGGGAAGCAGCAGCAGACCTAACCCTGAGCAGGTGCCTATTCCTGTCTCATTAACCCCTAGGTCAGCTGGAACTTATCACTGCTGGGGTAGGAAGGGAACGGGGGCAGAATCAACTGTGACTTGAAGCCTGGCCCCTTACCAACTGCTCCTGTAGATTTTGTTTCCCTCCTCCCAGATAATTCATGTTCTGCTGATAAACACCTGTCCTTTGTTTAATATTGCTTGTGCCATGGGATCCTACCCGAGCACCTGAATTCCCATGTGGATAGCTCTCTACCTGAGCAAACAAACTATTCCAGGAAAACAAGCAGCATACTGATAATAGCATATATTGCAGGAAGCAACTCTAATCTGCTGTGCTGAACTGTACTTGTACAGGAACCATAAAACTCCAACAAGAATTGAAGTAGGCTTGTCTGAAGCATATCTTACCCTTAGATGTATTTTGCCAGTTCCTAAACACAGCAATATACTGGGAGAGGGGCTTTAAGAGCAAACCATTTTTCTGTCTAAGTACTGGAGAGCCTCACAGGAAGGCAAAAAAAACTCAGGTAGATTTAAATAAGAAAGGCTTCCTGAGAAGTAGGATGGGAATATAAGCCAGAACAGTTTTGTTGCATAGACCTCATTTGAGAAGGAAGGAAAGCCAAGGCAGAGATTTAAGAATGCATCTCCACCTTACACCATTATGATTATCACATTTAGCACAGCGGGAGCATCCAAATCTTTAGCCAAGACTAAGGTTGGTTTGTTCTAGGTAGGCCACAGTCAAAGGCTTCTCCTAAGAGATTCAAAGTCTACGAGAGAATATCGGAGGAAAAATGGTCCAGGGACAGAAATGGTCAGCATAAGGAGAGAATTGGTTCATTGCAGAGAGTGAACCCCCTCCAGTAGGAGGCTGCCATGGTACCATGTCTGACCATAAGCCCACCTCCATTTCTTGGATGCATGGATTTTGCCTACACGAAGCATATTTTCAGCCTTTCAGAAGTCTCTTTTGCGTCCCTTCCTTGTCAACTCCTCTGCTCTTCTTCCGAGCTAAATGCACTGAGTTTTTACCTGGTTGGTGAGATGAACGGTCAGATCATCAGATGTGGCATCATAATTGCCACAGGTCAGCCGGACGTAGCCCTGGGCAAAAAACAACACATATGGTGCTGTGCAGGCAATGAGGAGGTAGGAACGGACGTCAAACTTCTTCCCTTCCAGGAGCAGAGGTTGGTCAATGTACCTGTGAGGGTGTCAAGACATGTCACCAACAGGCAGCTGTAACACACAGCAACTCAAAGCTCACACAAAACCCTGCAGCCAGTTGGTTTTGCGCCATAGAACAAAGCTGTTTGTCCTCCTTTCAGGTGCAGACGGAGCCCAGAGGAACAACCAGAAGTGCTGGGAATGGACTAGAGGCATAGTGCTGAGTCTTTGGAGTGCAAGGTAATGAAAGATTTACTAATATTTACTTGGGAATATACATAGTTTGTCAGAATGCAAAGAGCACTTCGCGTGGCGCCGTTGCTTTTATGGCCACAGCAACGTCATGCTCTACAAAGAAGAACCTGGATGGTTCTTCCATTCCTGCAAGGAACACAAAAGCAAACAATCCAAATCCAGTGTTTTAATGACTGCTAGCCACTGATGGAGGTCGAGGCTTCCATAGCAATGGGGCAGATTTCGGAAGATATTTGAGAGGTTTGATTAAGTTGTGCGGAATAGATTGGCCAGCTGCACGGTTTGTAAAACGCCTGCGTTGCCTGAGAAGGTGGGACAGTACCTAGTTTAAATAACTTTGCACAAGGCTTTTGTCATGCACGGAACAGTAGCACCTGGCCTTTTGAAGTCACGCTTAAATTTCCAGACAAAGGTAAACAAATCTTTCTGATGGCACAGATCCACCCTGAAAGGACTGGAGTTGTGGATACAAGACAGACTAACCAGAGAAATAGAGAGTTTAGTCTCCCACTAAACAAAATCTTATAGGTTGATGATGTGGTGTAAACACATGAAATGCCTATGGAACAATATAAAACACTGAGGCTTAATGGCTTAATTAAGCACACTACTCATACATTGCCAGGCTTCAATGTCTACCTTTGCACTATTCTTGTATGGGAAGCCCCACAGGGCACCCTCTTACGGGGTAGGTCTCCCTCAGAGCTGTAGAGCTTGGCTTGCAGGGTGGTGACAGCTTCGGGATTTTTCAGCAGGAAAATTCCTCGCCCTTGGTTAGAGCAACTTGGTTTGCAGATCCACATCTCTTCTTCTGCAGAGAGAATGAGTCTGTGACAGCAGTGTGTGGGGTGTGAAACGCTGGTGTTCCAGTTAGAGGGCTTTGTATGCACGTCATCAATAGACACAGACCAGGGAGTATTGCTCTGTAGACACTCATGAACTTAGAGGGACATACAGCTATTTCAGCTGGTTGCTTCCTTGATTAAGTCAACTCACCTTTGCAAAGCTCAAAAAAGGCATTTCTCTCTTCTTTTAAGTCCAAGCGAAAAGATTCTGGAAAGAATTCTTCCATCTTCAATAACCTACGAAAGAGCCGAATACAAGCTGAAAACCCTGTCCAACACATTCGTTCCTCTGGGGAAATGATTTTTCGAGACAATAAGAAAAAATACTTTGTGCCCTCTTTTTTAAGCGCTCTCACTTTTGCTTGGCGTGTGCTCAAGGTGCAACGATGTGAGAGTTCTTACTTGGGATTAGGGCTCCTGCTGATCTTTTTCATCACTCGCTCTTGCTCTCGCAGGCAGGATAAAAGCCCAGTCTTGCTGGTGAGGACACTGTTGTTGGGAATCTGGTAGAGCAGCTGTTCGCCTGTTTGAGGAGGAAAGAAAGCTTGCCCTCGTTGTCTCATGCAGCAGAACCTGGAGGATGATGCTGATCTGGGAGCTGCTGACTCTCACCAATTTACTTGAAGGCAGTAGCAGGGGGTGCCTGTGTATGTGGGGCACTCTATGTATGTATGCAAAATCTTGACCAGGCTGGTGAGGTGCCAGCTGCTGCTGTGCTGCAGAACAGTGTCAGTCCTATTGCTGCCTGCGAGCTCCAACCCACAGAGGGAGGGCTGCATTTCAAAAGTGATTAGGATGCTTTGTGCGCAGTTCGTTTCAATGGTATCTTTTCTCCCCAAGCCATTCTCTTGTCTAAAACCCTTTCTTTAATCACCATGGCAATCCAGCTCCAATATCCCCACTGAGGTCTGCCAAGAAGTTGAGGTTACCTGTTTCTCCTACCCCGCAGGTGACCTCTGCCCTGGGAGCCACAAGTCCAGCATTCTCTCATTTTTCCCACTGCCCTCTCCCACTCGAGGCCCACTGGCACCTCTACCTTCTTTGAAATGGTAATAGGTCTCTCGGCACTTGATCTCACACCATTTCAGTGCGTAATCCTGTCTTCTGTTGTCATAGATACGCTGCCAGCCTCTGCTCTGGCAATAGATGCTCACACTGCGTATGGAAAACAAAACAGCAAAATAGCCTCCTTCCCAGCAATGAAGTTAGCTCACATCCCCCAGACTCCTAACAATTTCCCTGGGAGTTTGACCTAACACCTCCAAGAACCCCCGGGGGGGGGGGAATAAGGTGGGAAACATTAATTAAAGTGGCTGCAAGTGGACCTGCTGCTCTGAACTCATGACTGAGGGTGCTCAGGATGCTGTAATTCTGCAGCGTTAATGAGAACTTGTAACTTCTCAGCAGGGTTGTTTCAATTAGGATGCAAGTGGTACCCGTGGAATAGGAACGTTGAGCATTATGGTCCGGTGTCATTAAGGAGCCTCTCTGCTGAGTGCAGCAAGAGAAGACAGATAGCAATAGGAAAAGCCATTTGTAGGCAAAGCTTGGAAATGTAGCAAGGAGTGTGTTGCTTACAGTAGAGATTCTGTGGTGCTTGCTGGTGGCAGCATCTAGAGAAGAATGTCAATATACTGGAAAGAAGTTGGGAAGTAAAAGATGGAACTTTTGATTGGCTATTTTTCTTGGGCATAAATGTCGTCTTATTTTTGCTTTTAGTGCATTTAGGGCAACGAAAGGTTGATCAAATGCAGTGGTGCCTAGAGCTTGCTGTGATGCTGGCAGATTTGCTATGTGGAACCCGAAGAGAGAACTCTCATTAAATAATTAGTATTCAGTTTCTTGCTTAAAGGTAACAGTTAGCTATTTTACTACTACTACTTTACTACTCCACTACAATGGAAGTTGGTCTTCCATTAAGGACTTTCCATTTGAGTTGTTCTTAAACTAGTCTTTGAATGTGTCATTCTGACAATACGTAAAGTCAAAAGGAAATGTTTCTATGCCGATGGCTGATGCAGTGCAATTTCATGTGTGGTCATACATTGCTGAGGACCTACTTACAGTCCTGCTCCATTAGATCCACTGATATAAAAATATGGTCCCGATGCCATTGGCACTTCTCGTATCAGTTCTTCTGGCTGCTTTTCTTGAGGGTTTGCCTCGCCACACATTCTGTTCTCACGAGGCCTGGCTTTGTCAAGCTTCACTTCAGAGGTAGGAGAAATATTTCCACGGGGTTTACCTGAAAAAGGTATAAATTGTGCGCAAGAATGCTGTAAGCTGGTGGCCAGCACTTTGGCCAGGTGTAGAAAACGCAGCCCTCTTGATCTCGGTATCAACTCAGACCTTGGCTGGAAGACTTGGAACAACTAATGGTTAAAAATGAGGGCACAGGATTTACCTCTGTCAGCTGATAAGGACGGTGCCTGCTGTTGGGGACAGCCCTGTCGCGTGGCTCTGGTGTTTCTCTTCCTCTTGGGTGGCACAGAGGCCATTGCAGAGCGCGGGCTGCAAGAGGAAAGATCCTGGTCTGCAGATGGGAATTGTGTGAGGTGTCCTTGACTTTGCTTTGCTGAGCCATTTCCCCATGTCTGGCAGTTTTTTTTTTTTCCCCTTATTTTGTTATTGATGTTAGCTGGGAATGTGCTGTCTCCAGCTTCTGCCTACAGCTTTTGGGTGGCTTTGAGCTGCAGGCTCAGGCTGCGGGTGCAACTTGCAGCTCTGGGGCTCAGTGTTCAGCTTTAGGATAAATGACAGGAAGCTCGAAAGCTTGTAAACCCCATTTCTTGGTCTTTGCAATTGATGTGAAAACAGCAAATGTGCTGTTCCTTATGGAGACAAAAGCCAAAACCCAGGAAAGTTGTTGGATACGGGGTTGGCAACAAGTTTGATACAGGGACAAATGTAAAAAGTGCTGCACGGAGATCAGGGAGCCATTCTGCACAGCCACACCTTGCTACTTTTCAGCCCTTTCCTACAGGGGCCAAACCCACACCCTGTGCTAACAAAAATAATGGAAATTCTAACCTGCGCTCAGCTGTTTCTAAATATTTTAGGAGAGCTTTAATTGCTCCCTGTCCTTTCTTCAGCTTGGAGGACGTGCACTTGACTTCTGGACGGGTCGTAAGCAGCTTGGGAAGCACAAAAGCATCCTGGGATGGAGCAGGTTCTGGAGTGGAGTGCAGGTGGCCTGTAGGCATTGATGGAGGGGTGGTGGGGCCCCATGGGCAGCTCAGACACCCACGTTGCTCTGCCATCTCGCAGCCTTCGGTGCTGCAAACACAGCCCAGCTCCTAGCAACAGCTGCCTGGTGAGGGGTTCTGCTGCTGGAATGCCTGGAGGGTTCTACAAATATGGGAGTCGGCGCGGTGCAGCATGTGCTGTTTAATTTGTCAGGACTTAAATCAAATTATCAAAGCTGCCAGCAGGGCGAAATCAGTGCTCTAAATCCTCCTAAGGCCTTTTGCTTCCGTAGCAAATCCTTCTGCAAACTTCTAAAGAGCATCCTGGAGGCAAAACGCTGACATTTCTCCCCAAGGACTGCCAAGAATTGGTCACTGATTCCCTGTGGAAGTTGTACCCTGTCACCGAGCTGCAGCCTCCAGTAAGTGGGGATTAATGGGATGCAAAGGGAAGGAGGAAGAGAGAAAGGCAGGAAGAGAGTAGTCCTGCAGTCCCACATCATCTCACAAAACTCTGCATGTTTCAAGGAGTCTGGGAATGCTGGGATAAGTAAAGAAAAGCAACAATTCTGTGGTTTTGGCTCCTTCTCCGAGTCCTAACCAAACGCAGTTGCTGGTTTTATGATGAAACGACCCGTTTTTGTGACTTTGGCAAACTCCTGTTACCACAGGAGTCCCTCCTCCCTTACGTTTTTGTTTTTATTAAATTGTGAATTGTCTGAGTGCAGTGAAAAGTGGCTGACACAATGGGACCCTTGATTTTTTTTTTTGGGGGTGGGGGCAGCTGCTGTGTGCCACCAACCCAGCAATGATAACAGCGTTTGGCACTTGCAGAGCCTCAGCTAATAGCAGCGAGACAGAAAGGCCAATTTAAGCAGCCTGAAACTCCTCTATGCCCTTTAGATGTAGGAGCAAAGAATAACTGCTTGTTGTGACCTCAGCTAGAGTAGGGTTGGCACCAGCAGACAGAGCCACGCAAGGTCTGCAGTGAATGCAGACAACAGCTCTGCTCTTGGGCTCCACAGAACAGCAATGCCACAAAAAGCAAAAATCCAAGAGAGAGGCAAGAAAAAAAAGTACATAAGGATACTTATATCCCCTTGCCTCAGTAAGAAAGGGGTGAATAAGGGTGAAAGGCTGGCAGGTGGGGTTTGGCTCAGTGTCAGCCCCTTTCCAGGCAGTGTGAATACACTGGCACTCGTCCTGGTGTCACTGCGACCTTTGGGAACGTTCTCTCTATTTTTCCTGCTCATGCACACAATGCCTCTGGAACTCCTGCAGAGCAGGGCAGGGTCCTGTCCTGGCTGTCTCTTCCCCCTTCCTGTATTCCTTCTGGCATCTAACCCAGCTCAGTCACCCAGGGAGCAATGTGCAGCAGGAGGGTGGACGTGTTGCAATGCTTCCAACCATCGTTACACCCTCTAGGAAATGTTGCCTCATTGTTGGAGGGGAGAGGCTGCAGTGAAGGAGGCACTGAACGAAGAGGTTATAACCAGAGGAACCTGAAGGATTTATTTATACTCTGTATTTTGTGAGATTTAACGCAGATGATTTTAAATGCACTTTGGACACCTGTTTTCTTGCTCTTTGCTGTTTGGACCAGAGTGCTAACCATAGTGCAGGGGGAGTTGTGGCTGCTGCTTTGGGCAAGCTGGAGGCATTCAGCCCTGCTGTCGCTCAGCCTGCAGGAATGCAATGCTTCCAAAATCTGCTGAGTTTTGCACAACTTGCCCAATCGGGCTTAAACGCCAGAAATGACAGCCAAAGTGACTGCATAATCCTTATGATGTTGGAAAACCACTCTCAAAAATTAATGTGCAATAGAAGAGAACGCGTGTCGCTGGCACAGGCAGGGTTATAGCTATGCTAAGACTGCACATGTTTAATTCAAGGTAGTTCTTCTGCCAAAGGGGTTTCTGTGCCATGATTTGCTACATAAACAGTATTTGAGTCCTCGGTTTTGGGATTCAGGTTTCTGGAAACCCTATGGGCACCATATGAAGGACAAGGAACCGATCCTGGCAGATGCAGAGTTTGGAGGTTTTGCATCTTCCTCTATTACCACCCAATGGCTGGATCTGCCAGAGTGCACGATGCACAAACGTGGCAGTGAGTGTTACTACAGTAATATCACACTTGTCATAGACCCATAGATTGGCGTGGATTGGAAGGGATCTTAAAGATCATTCAGTTCCAACCCTCTGCCGTGGGCTTTTCTTGCTATAAATGGATGCAGTCTGAGGGCGGAAAGCTACAGCTAGGTGAGGAGGGATGGCTTGGAGCTCCCCTGGCTCCTAGTTATGGTGTGCAGGCCTGAGGCTGTCTTGCTGGGAAGGTGCTGAGCTGTGGGATCAGGTGCTATTGGGGCGATCTCCTGCCTTTGGAGCTGCCTGGGGAGTGACTCATGCACTGCTGTGTGCACCGAGTGCCCTTTTCCACTGCATGCTGAGGGTCAGAATAGCAAGCAACGTTTGGGAGGCTGCTGCCCCCCCCCAAGCTCTCGCACACAAAACAATTCCCAGAGTATCCATAGAGCCAAGATGTGGTTGATCTGTATGGTTTTTATTGTTGTTTTGTTTCTTTTCCTCCTACTGTTTCATTGCTATTTTCGAGCAGTAGCGGTGCTTTGCCAAGGAGCTACAACACCATCAGGGAAGGAGAAGCCAATGTGAGGTGTGAGAAATGCATACAGCTCTTCCAAGCTTTTGTCTTCTCACCTGTATGATGGAAAGGTATTTTTGTATTGTGGACTTTCACAATAATCAATAATTGTGTGAGCTACTGTGACGTGTTTATTAAATAATGCATCCTTGTGCCTCCCACCCCAAACCAAAGCACAGGTGAGGCTGCACCCTGCCCTGTCCCAGCTCTCAGCACAGCAGGCTGCAGACTTGGGGGAATTAATGATTAACCCCAGACTGAATGCTGAGCAGAGCTGTGGAGGTAGGAGAAGACAATCCAAGCTCTCATGCTGGCTGCTGAATGAGAACTCATTTTGTGTAGGTGAATTCTCTGCACAGTGGTTCCAGATCTATCACAGCATTAGATTGATGGTTGGAAGTAATAATATTAAGGGGTTTTTTCCAGTCTAAATGGTTCTACAGTTCCATAGCAGGGCTATCTTTCAGCACTGAGAGTTGGATGATCTTAGTGGTTTTTTCCAACATCTATGATTCCATGATTGCTGAGTACCTGCAATCTTGCTTGAGAGCAGCAGCAAAGGCACGAGCTCAATGGTTCAGAAGGGGAAAGATTCTGCAATTGTGGGCAAAGGAGGTTGGCTCAAAGCCCAGTGAACCTTCCATGGGTTTCAACTGGCTTTGCGTTGGTGTTCTGAGAAAACTGGGAATGCTTCTTAGAAAATGTACTTCTCTCTTCTGCTTTATGGGTATTGCTTTGTGTTTGTGCTGACCCATTCCTGACATTTTGCTCTTGTTCTGATTCAGAGCTGTGATTTAAGAAGGGACGAGTGGCTCCAGCCAAATCCAGCCCCTAAGGTGTGGCAGCGGCAGAAAGAAAGGTGGGAAAGAAAGAAAGCAAACAGCTCTTGTGTGTGACTTTGGCCAATTACTTGCTGGTAGGCGTCAAGGAAGACAGGGCACAGTCTGCTCACCTTTTCCACAAATAGACTGAAGGTTCCACCTGAGCACCTTCCAGCCATTTCCCTCCTGACACCTCCACAGCCCTCCAGCTCCCACCCTGATAAACATGAATTCCTTTCCTGTTTCCCTGGCTTTTCCCATTTATTGGCATGACCTGTCCTCAGCACAGCATCCAAGGTAGGCTCTGCAACCTACCCTGGCCCCCAGGCTTGCAGAAGACCTGCCAGCTCCTTTGTGGGAAGACCACAGGGAGCCCACTGCATTTTTTTTTTCCAGTTGGCCGTGCTGTGGATGGCTCTTCGCTGCTGCAGGTGCTTGGCTGCAAGTGGCACACAAAATCCACTTCTGTTGGAGCTCTGTGCAGCAGATGGCTTTGTGAGGAACAAAGCAGAGGGCTGCTTGCAATGAAGGAGCAGCGTGCTTTGCCGAGTGCAGGATGTTTGCTCTGCAGCGCAGGGGAACCAGCTGGTAACGCTGCAGAACCTCTGCATGTGGTGGCCATGGGAGAGAAGTGACACCCTGTGAACGTTCTGCTTCAACAAAAGCAGGAATGGTGCACGCAGGAGGAATAGCTCTTTGCTTTTTTGCAGCTTTTTCTGCCCACTGCACTCTGCTAACACACCTACTTTCTGCTCTGCACCGCTGCTGACAACGTTGATGCATCAAACCAACGTATTACCCCAGTGATACCTCGTCCCAGTGCCAGCCTCCAGCACTTCTTCCTATCTCCCAGGCCACAGAACCACTGAAAGCCTGAGGCTTGGTGACAACGCTATGTGCCAGGGATAGGAGCCTTTGTGAGCACAGCCTTTGTTCTGTGCCACACAACAAAGCCCAGAAACGATCAGCCTTTTGCCTGCCACCTGTTTGCTTTGCCTGCGTTATGTTGTGCCAGAAGAAAAACCAGGAAACAGCAGCAGGCAATAACTCACAGAAACCAGTGGGAGCTGGAGGAACCCATCACAGGAGTGCAGTGCTGGTTTCCTGCCAGGAGAGATGACTTCCAGAATTCAAGATGGACACGAAGAGGAGAGAAAAAGGAAAAAAAAAAACCCTTAAAGCAGAGTGTTGGGGCAACCTGATTGCTGTTGGCTCCGTGTCAGCCTGGTTATTTCTCTCTCTGCCTTGTGAGCTCTTCAAACCCTGACAGGGCCCCATCTGTCGCTGTGAGTTCCTTGCAAAGCGGGCTACAAAAGCAGTTGCTTCAAGCCATCAGACAGGGCCAAATTTTCTTGCTTGTTGTCAATCACCACTTGCACAAACCACAAGGACCGTCCCACGGGCCATGCGGAGAGCTATTTATATTTTCTCACCACGGAGAGCATTTATTTGGCATAGCTGGCCATTTGGAACCGCTCACCCTGCCTCTTGCAGCTTCAGATGAGGAAGATCCCCTTGTTATGCATCTTAATAAGATGCTCAATTAGCCCCCATCAGCTCAGCTGGACGTGTTGATGGCCAGGGTGGGCTCAGCTGGTCACTAAACAGCAAGAAAAGGCCAAAGGGAGGGGATAGCCTCAATGTGGAATGGCTGTGGGTTTCACAAATAGCTGGTCGCCTCTGAGCTGGGGGAAAAATGACTTTCAGCATCTATTTCCACCAACCCAGGAGCTCCCAGCTTCTTGGATGCTGTTAGGTAAGAGTTAAACACGTGCTAGCTCCCTTTGTTGAGCATACTACTGCAGTCAGCTCAAGCTTCCTCTTGTCTTCTGCCTGTTGTCTGTACTTACAGGCAGCGCCTTTGTTTCCAGCAGTTCTAGAGCCCTGATTCCAAGCCCTGCTTTAAGGAGATAAAGGCCAAGGAGAAGGCAGCGAGCTGAGCTCTGTGTTTTTAGCTTTGTGTCCCACTTTTGTTCATGGCTCCCTATAGCCAGAGCTCTTCCTTGCACGCTGCAAGTGCTTATTGAAAGGGTAGGCTCACAGTCATCAAATAGCAGATAGTGAATAATGAGTTAGGCTCGCACACAGAAATCCAAACGGGTTTTGTTTAAAGTGGTGTTTGGTATGCAAATAAAATTAGCAATCCAAATGAGGCTGCTTCTCTCCCCAGAGTGTTTGCTCAGCCTCTCCCCAGCGTTGGCTTCCAATTGCAGGGATCCAGGTAATGGTTTAACACAGCCCATTAAGCGATTTGCCTTCGGACACCGAGATTAAAGGGGAACCTTTCTCCATATCAGACCCTTTGGTCCCTCCAGACCCACCCTATGTGCCCTGCTGGCCTCATGGGCACAGTAACCTGAATTTAGGAGTAGTTTTGATCCTGTGTGCTGTTTGGTTTGGGGGAAAAAAAATCCCACTGTTGTCTTGAAAAAGGCAGATAGTTTGGTAAAAGTATGTTATTTCTTAAGGAACTTGGACTTGAATCTACTCGAGTTGAGCGAAGCAATCCTATCATGTAGTGTAAATGTCCTGAACTTTGCTCCCGAATCAGTTCAGATTGCAGCCGTTGTGCCAAGAGGTGCTCGTTAAATTTACAGCCCTGGCAGCTCACCCCACCCACCTGAAATAAACTGACACAGGGAAAAGAAAAGTGCTTCACCCAGCACGGAGCATTAATGGCACCGAGCATCCGAACAGCTTTCTGCAGGGAGCCTGGGGCTGCTCCTGGGTTATGAAATGCCCGTGTGCCATTCCGAGAGCAGTGCTTGGTGTTGGTTGGGCTTTCCCTGTGCTCACGGTTGATAGGAGCTGTTTTTAACGAACTGAACTTTTTTTTTTTTTAATTATTGCTCCATGATGAGTCACCGAGTATTTAGCAGAGTTCAAGCTGTTTTTCCAGTTAAATGTTTTGATTCACACGAAATGTTGGGGTAATTAACGCTTTTTTCTTTGCCTTTTCTCAGCTGCCTTTGAGAAATCCCTGTTTTTACTTTCACTTGTTTCTAAAATCCTTAATTACAAGGAGGGGAAAGGAGATGCTGAACTTTCTTTTAAGCGCATACATTGCCATGGCAGTGCGTTAAACATTAATGCTGGTAAGTTAAAGCCAAATGAGACGCCTGAATACTTGGAGTCTACAACAAAGTCTCTGGGTTCTTTCCTCCTGCCATTGTCTGAACAAGTTATTTTCTGCGTGTGTCTGAGCTTTCCCAGTGTAACGTGCAGGTAACACTCGGCAGTTTGGTTGCAATGCGTGCAGTGTGTTGGTCTGGTGAGATGAAGGGTGTTCTGTATGGCATTGTGACAGCAAAACAGCCTGTTGTGAGCCCTTCCTCGTGCTGGTGAGCAGCACTGGGAAGCATCACCAGTGCATGGTGGGAGGCAAGCACAGTTCTGTATTGTTTCCAAATACGTCTTTTATTAAACATAGAGTTTAAAAACATAGCATAAGCTCTAAGGCATTGAAAGAGCATTCAGTAGGATGTAAGATAGACATGCATTTATGTGATAGCAGCCAGTGAAACTTTTATTCCTACTTCTGTGCGGAAAATCTTGGAGTGTTTATCCACGCATGTGGATTGTAATGATAAAAAACAGTGAAAATGCTCTTCACTGTGATTGCAGTCGTTAGTAAAATAAATATGTGAACGTAGCATTAAGGACTGTAGTTGTATCTTCATTCTCTTTGAGAATGTGTTGTCCATACTACTCACCCTTTGAAACCACCTAACCAAGACATTGCGTTGTTTGGTTTTTGTTATTACCAACTTACCAAGAACCCATTTTGTGAAGAGGGAAGTAGTTCTTGTTTTCACTTCTTTTAAAAATAACCAGCAAAGGGCAGCGCTGCCGAAATCAGGCTTGTTTCATTTCAAGGAAAATGCCTTAGCTCCAAAAGGATGCTTGAGCACCAGAGAAAAACAGAAATGGGGTCCTCGATAAGGATCTCCAACTCCTCTGAAATGTGGAGGTGTTGGATGAGGAGTGCATATAGAGTAAAGGAAAACAGAGAGTCCAGCAGCTGCGGATCAGGAATAGCACTGCAATTGTATAAAATTGTCTTGAGGAGATGCTGCAATATATCAAAGGAAGCAACAAGTTCCCGTGAAAGAGCTGTGCTATGGAAAGGGCTATCCCTTGTACCCTGCAAAATGAGACTTGCCAGCTGTGAGTCACGGTAAGCAGGACAGAGATACCATCTGCACTGTCTGAGCAGTTTGGGGTATGGAGATTTCCTAATGGCAAATTCCTGACCATTGAGTGAGACTGGGCTGACTGAGAGAGCTGTGCCATCCTCGTGCCTCAGAGTGCTGCTCAGGTGAGGTTGGTGCTCTGAAAATGCTGTGCTGCTGTGAAATGCTGCTGCTGGCATGCAGCTTATTGCTGCTCTCATTGGGGGCAGAGCGAATTTCGGCTGGTAGAGAACCAGAGCACCCTTCAGGAAGCTCACCTTATAGCTTAACCACATCCCAAACAGAAGATGTGCTGAACTGAGGGCTTTGCAGACCCCTTTTTGTACTTTCAAGAAGCACTTTTCTGTTGGCATAAAAATTAAGTAACCCTTATCTGGAGTAGCAGGATGGACTGATCTGTCGTGGAGTTTTGCTCATTTAACAAATTATTTCCTAACTGAAGCAGCTTTCTGTGCTGAGTCTGGGAGCACTCAGCCCAGCTGTGCTCACTCTGTCTTCACACAATGCTGGCCTCTGACAGGTTGTCCTTCCCGAAGAAAGGCTTTTCTCAGTGCTCCAGGGTTGGTGCAGCTCTGCCCATCGCCTTTCAGAGAGATCTGATAACGGGTCCAAAAGTCACCAACGTTCAGTTAGCTGTACAGGAGCCTGCCCTGCCTGCCTGCGTGCTACCTGCGTGCTCTTTGACTTTCCTCATCTCCCTGCATTGTGTTACAGCACACCTCGGCAGTGCGTGTGGACGAGCCTCCAGCCCGGGTACCAAACCTCCTCGGTTCTTCTGACCAAAGCAAGATTTCCTCTCCGTGTTTCTCTCGAGGCGAAGACTTTTGCCGATGCGATTGACGGCATTACCAGACAGTATTAGACAGAAATAGCTAGATCTAACTTTGCCTGGTAAGACAGCAATCAGCAGGCGCTCAAGCTAAAGGAAACCAACGTGAGAGCACTTCTTCCAGCTCCAGGGCTAAAGTGATGGGGCGGGGAAAGGCTGAGGGCCTCTCCCATGGACACATCAGTAACCAGTAAATATTTAACTTGAAGTGCAGGCAGTACAATCGTGAGAACACGACTGTTTGCAGTTCTCTGGCATGAGAACTGAAAAATACTGTAAAGTACTTGCTGAACTTACCACCAGCTCCATCCTCCGCATCCACGTTGCTGTGAAGCGCTCACCATCCCCGTGTCCTGCAGCTCCATCGCCCAGCAGGGATGCAGATGTGGTTCAGCTGCACCCCACAGCTGTGCTCTCATCGATATTAAACCCCCAGACAGAGTTAAGCCTAATGCAGGCCGGGTCTTAGCTCTTCTACTGCAGTGAGCATCAGTGCTGCCCATGGAATCGCTCTGTTGTGGAACTGAGTTGAGCAAACTTAACATTGGTGGGAGAAGAGGAGGGAGGGGAAGATATTGAGGCTGAGGGGATTTCGCTGGGTTGCTCCTGACTCCCATGACTCACTGTTCTTGCCTAGATAAGGCTGAGCGGACGCTTTCCTAAGCATAAATCAGCCCTGGGGGAGGGCAGGGGAATTTCCTTGGTTCCATTCCTTTTTTATTAACTTAAGGTGACATCCTGTGCATGCCAGGGATGCCCAATTATTGTTATCATCTTTTTTTAATCCATCCAAGGTTAGCATCCATATTGAATTTTAAGAAGAGAAGATGGATGGGAGTTGGGTGCGTGCTCCAATTCATCTTATTTAAATGCTTGTTAAAAGCCAATTTGCAGAATCACTCAAATTTCACACCATTTCCTCAATCCCCTGTGAGCCAGTTAATAAGTCACACACGGGCTAATCACCAAAGAATGCTCCTCTGCTCCCTCCTGCTCTCGTTTTTCCTGAGAACTGCAACGTCCAAGGGCAAGAGCGCCTCTGTGGGAGCTGCCTTTGGTTTGTTTTTCTGCTGTTCCTGTATTACGCGGCAGTTTTTGTACGGCATTGCACTGGACAGGGTTGGAAAGGCATAGAGAGGTTTTTGCTTGCATGCCACTGGGCTGCTGTACCTGTTTTATCCAGGAGGGAGGGAGGGGATTAGCACTAAGCTGAGGATGAGGAAAAGGTTTTAGTGCTGTGATTCAAGCACAGAGCGGTCCTGTGAGCCTATGTAAAGAACTGGGGAGAGAAGCACGGTCCAAGTTCGTGCGTAATGTTGCCCTATGCTTCTTACAGAAGGGAGCTGAAAACCAATGGGTGCAGTTCTGGAAAACCAGCACGAGGTCTGTGCACTATCCCACACCAGGGCGTCCCCAGGAACCCCAAAACTCAAGTGGCATCAACGATCCTTGTGAGAGGGTGAGTCTCAGCTCATACAGTGGCCTGTTAATGAGGTCTGATGTGAATTCTTATTCTCTGAAGGTAGACCGTGCCCAAATTTTCATCCGGATTAGAGTTATATCAAAGTTACTGGTTTGTTAGCTCTACTACTCTAGATAATCCTCTTCCAAAGGAAATCAGTGCTTTAAATGTGGACTAGAACTGGGATGTGATCCTAAGGTCCAGGCAGCTCCAGCTCACCTTCTCTCTGTTGAGTGCAGACTGAATTTCATTTTCGAGTGGCCCTGGTCTAGATGCCCCATCATACCAGCACAACTATGGGTGTCAAGGCAGGACCCAAGCAGAGATACGAGGCTGCACATCAGCACGTGTTCTTGCAGTGCCATTAACTCACATTGGCTGGGGGGCTGCTTTGTTCACGTCCCTCTGCTTGGTTAGGTAGAGCAGGGTAAGCATCCACTACTTGTTCCTTGCCTGGGTTAAATTGCTTAGTTTCTTAATGGGATGATTAGAGTGATTAACCCACCTGCTCCATATGCTGCCAGCGCTGCCTGTATCGGGGCAGGTTAGGAGGTTGAAAGTTCACAGGCTGTTCAGCCATGGAAGTAATTGAACTGTAATTGGGAAGAACGACCTTTACCACCAGCGTCCTGCCCTGAGCACCTCTCACAGCCAAGCACGGCTGGCTGCTAGCAAATCTGTCAGTCCCCTGGACAAGAGCTGGGCCGTGCAAATACCCAATAGCCCTAACCCCACTGTTTGGAGGGATTGTGCAGTGCTGTGCCTCAGGAGGTGTGCATTTGTATGCTAGAGCTGGTGTGCTTCTCACCTCCTTTACTGTAGTAGGAGCACTTAGCAGGGTGGTTTCTTTCTCATAAGTATTTATGATCATAGCCATTTAATAAGTCTAAAAATACTCAGTAAGATGATAGCCAACATCCTTACCCTCTTGGCCAAATGTTCCAATTCGACCTAAATTGTGGCACAGTGTCTTTCTTTGAGAACTCCTCCTGATGCATGGTGTTGTTTGGTTCACCCTTTAAACATCGTTACCAGACAGTGTTAGAATAGATCCAAGAAATCCAGCACTGTCTAGTAAGATGCCCACAGAGGACCATTGTCTGTCCAGCAGCTGGAGAAATAGAGCATCTATTTTAATGATTCCACATTCTTCAGGATGTCAGTGGTCCGTAAAAACTAATGAAAGTGGCTTGAGAAAGATTGCCTTACATCACCTGGCTTGTCAATAATTTACCAGATAGGTGATGGGCAGAAGGAAGGCGTTTGGTACTGAAAGATAATTTGAAGTCCGTGGTGGATTTCAGGAGACAAAGATGGTGCAGGAAGTTGATGTACTAAAAATCTAAAATAGAAACACAAGATGAGGTCCTGTTTCATTACAACGTAAGAGCAGGCAGATTTCCTTCCTTTGGTTTCTCAGTTTCCTCGTTCCCTTCTCTCTTCTGATTCACAGAAATACCAGCACTCAAAGTCACTCCAATCAGTTAAAACGACAAACTGAAATCTGGTGTACAAACAAACCAGCACTAAGAAGGGCACAAAAACGTGTCAGGGATGGCCCAGTGTTCAACACAGCTCACTGATGTTACTTTATTGTACTGCCTGACTTGAAGGGATGCAGACAAATTTGAATCTTAATTCAAAGTGACAGGAGTCTTAGGTGTGCAATTGTTGGTAGCGTAATTAAGCATAATGAATGCTAACGATGAAGACAAAGGGTAGCTGCCTGCTTTGCTTCATGTTATTTTTTCCAGAAGTTTGCTGTAGCAGAAATCTGGCCCAGCTCTGAGCCACGAGGTGTTTCCTCACCTAAGAGCTCTGTGACATGGTAGGGATGCTGGGCTGTTGCTGACCCTCTCTCCATGCAGGAGGGGCAGCAGGGTTTGCTCCTTCCCTGTCCCCTTGGAGCTGGCTGTACCTCTCAGGCACTGTGGTTCAATAGCAGGAGTGCTTTGCTTTGAGCCGTGCTGCTCTGCTGCATGCATATTTATCATAGCCCTGAGGTACCTGCGAGTCTTTGCGGCCCTAGCACAGCGTTTCACACAGTAGCAGTGTTTCACACAGTACGTGCAAGCTCTGTATAGATCTAAGCTGTCACACAGCACATCTCACCCAGGCTGTGGATGGCTTTGCACTCTGATAGGCGTTCACAAACCAAGCAGCTCTCTGTGCTGGGAACCAAACAGCACAGCAGGCCAGGAGCTGTAAGGAGCCTGGGTACGTGTGTGGGGCTGCTTGGAGTGCCTTCCTACCTGCCAGGGATGCTGACACACCTGCCCACAGCACCCCGTGTCTGATAAAAGCACCTATCAGCAGTAATATCCTTCCTTGGCGATAGCTTTCATGCTGCGCCTCCAATATCTGATAACTGGGGGAGTGAAGCTTCCTGTATTGCCTTAATTCTCAGAAAGAAACAAAAAGCATCTGTGAACCACTGAAGACAACATTCTCACAGTAAGTTCTTTTAGGCTGAGCTAGTTCTTTCCAAATGACTTTAAGCAGGGTCATCAATTTATGGAAAGCAAACTTGCAGAGTGAGGGTCAGATCCATCCTGCCTTAAAACAGATTGTTGTGTTAGTCCACCAACACAATGAAAATAATCAGGGAGAACGGTACTTAACAACAGCCCCACTTTTTCACCAAGAAGTTAGAAACTGGCATAAAAAAAAAAAAAATCCACATCTGTATAAAAAATAAAAAACGTTACTTGTAAGTTGAAGGTTTTAAAACAAATGGTTTTGCTATTGGAGCGTTCTGCTGGAGGAGAGAAGTCTAGAGGAGCTGATGTGAAAAGGACAGAGCAAATGATAACAGCAAGGCTGGAAAACTAAACTCCGCTATTGATTTCAGCTGTCTGTTCCTTGAATTATCTTATATTTAGATTAGAAAAACGTTTTGATTTGGAGGGAAAATTATAAACTAGAAAACTCGAATGCTAATTTTCAGTAAACTGTTTGCTTTCGTTCTCTGGAAAGCTAGCATGGCTTGGAAGTAAATAGAATATAATTGGAGAAGAGCACTTGCATTTCTTTGAATGCTACAATACTCAGCATTTTCATGTGAATGCATTCTATCACTGCAGTATCAAACACGTGCTGTGCTCTATATTCTGCATGATTTTCTGTTCCCAGGCTCACTCTGAGATTCATAATTCTATAGGAAGATGACTTGCTTATATTTGCTTTTACCCCCTATTCTATAACCTGAAGCATTTCATCATAAATTTGTCAGATCTCCCCAACTGTGGGCAGTAAATCACACTTGGGTTTCTCTATTGGCCACTGACCTCTGCTTGCAAATTCGCTGTTGAACTTTTCCACGTTGTACACGAAACACCATAATCATCATTACCAGGCAGTATTAGAAAAACAGAGAACATCCAATGCTGCCCAGTAAGATGGTAATGGCATCTCAGGATCATGGTCTACAAGCAGATATAGCACAAGCTAGAAAGCCTCGCTGTTTGGAGAAGGAAAAAGAGAAAGGAAAAACAAACAACAACAAAAAAAAAGAATGCAACCTATAGCTGTCCTTCATTTGGGATCTTCTCAATTATCAAATGCTGTCACTTACCAAGAAGAGTCCTCACTTCTATTTTCACCTAATGGAACGCGCCCATCAGCTGCCAACTGTCACAAGGTGGCATTTGAGGGCTGGGCAGTTAGAGTCCTAGCTGCTACTGCAAATCAAAAACGTGGGGAAAAGCGAAATCCAGGAAGCAAAGCAACTTTACAGACTTAGGCGTATGTAACTCTTACCTTTCTTCCAGTCCTCCAACTGTGCGAGCTTTATCTACGTTTTTATTACGCAATTAACATTTGCTGATTCTTTCAGTCGTCTTTTAATCAGGTTTGTTTTGCTTAGGAAATCCAAAGATCTTACAGAGCACAGTTATTGCAAGGAAACCATATTGTTTTAAATGCTGAGAGAGCTTCAGTCCTCTCCCTGCTCACGAGAGCTTTCCAGGTGTAGATTTTTACAATATTACAATAACACAACACAAGTGTGTGTTAAAAAACACACCGAGTTCTCAAGAAAAATCTCTGCAGCAGCCAAAGGCATTACTACAGCTTCTTCAGCACCAAGAGGCTCAGCGTTGGCATTGAATACCTTTGCAATGCCAAGACAAAGCACCTTCCATTGCATTTTGAAACCTGCTGGGGATCTCAAAGCCTCAGGGAGGTGAGAGCCATTCCCAACCTCTCAGCAGCACTGCAACCACCAGACATCAGAACTGAAAGGTGGTGAAAATGAAGAGGAAAAACAGCTGGACCAGAACATGATGAAATGACAGAGGAAGCCACTGCTGCAACTGGAATCCCACCAGTTTAAGGTGGGTCCATCTGTCACGTCTTTCTGTACACAAGCTGACGTTACAGGTGGGTCACTGCACTGTAGATCCTTCAACATCTCCTCAAGGTGTTTTTAAGAGAAAGTCAAGTCAAAGTCTGATGCACACAAGTTGCTTTACAAGAGCTTTAACCTGAGTCTGCCCTGCACAACTTCTCAAGTCTTGTACTGCAGGCCATGCCCCCATATTGGCTTTTGAATTACACCTGTGGTTCCCTCTTCCATTTTGACTTTCTAGGAATAGCTAAAAAATCGCTGCTGAAGAATTTGGGGAATGGAGGAAAGTTGGGATTGCTTTTGCATTTTGTGCTTATTTTTTTCTGTTATTTCTAACGAGGCAGCACTGAACCCCATTGGCCCTTTGCTATTACAGGAAAGGTAAAGCTTCCCTGAGGCAGCCAGCAAACAGATGTGCTCCTCTTAACCATGACAAAAGAAAGTGTCTTTTCTGCTTCAATAACACGGTATGGAGAAAGTCAACAAGAGGAACTGAACAATAGCTCTTTGTCTGAAGTAGCCTAGATGTCATAGTTAGAATGGAGGATTTCCAGACAACAAAACCTTAGGCTGTGTTAACAGATCTGGTTGCTGTGTATCAAAACTGTGCTTGTTTGATATTAGAGCAAAAATTTTCTTGAATGACCACAGTTTAGAGAATTTACGTAACGCTTGGTTATAACTAGGGGAAAAAAACTCAATTACATTGATTTCATAAGCTGCTCAGAGAAGGAAAGGGATCGACCATCAGACTCAAAGCTCGTAGCAAGGACGGATATGCACTTTTATGTGATGTGTCTCATCATTTCAGAGGGAATGATGGACTCACATATTGGAATTTACACACCTATGGTGAGATAAGAGGTGGCAAAAGCTGCATCCTTGCAGGTCGTCTGCGCTCAGCTGGAAAAGACCCCAATCCACTCCTCTCACTCTGCATCAGCCTATGTGGCATTGACCAGCCCTGCTTTGTATTTCTGATGCCACCTGAAGATGCCATTAGGACAACTCAAGTCAATCAGCATTTCATTTATGATGCTCTGGGAATCAACCCAGCAGGAAAGGACATTGGTGTGATCCTGTCATTTTCTGAAGGTTCCAGGGATGTTTTAACCTGATCCAGAAGATTTTCATCTGTGGCCTGGCTATGAGGTAACATATTGTGATTCCAAGAGCAAAAACTCCACAAGAGATATACCAAAAATTCTGAGCTAACAACTCAATGCTCCTGGGCTCAGTGGATCTCTCCCACGCCCGTTTCTTACAACTGAAACCTTTCAACAATCTCAGAGATGTTATGCTGAGTAAGACACATGTTCAAGCCAGAAGACGTGAACATAAATGCCATCAACCTCAAAAAGTATAAAGTCCAAATCTTGCCAAGAGATTCAACAGGACACCTCTTTGAGTAGCCAGATGTACAAACTGGTGTCGATGGTACCTGGGGAGTGGCATTATGTCAGCTCTCACATCCCTCCTGCTTCCAGGGATGGAGAACATCCAGAATGAAGAGGGATGGTTCTCTCCACAACAGTGCAAGCAAAGAGGAAAGTCAGAGGGGACAGGAAATGAGGAATTTTTTCAAGGCCACTTCTTTTAAAGCCTTTTTCACCCTCCTGACTTTGACACGTTTCCCAACAAGGAAAAAAACTCCTTGAGGCCAATTAGCTCTGAGCTTATCTCCAGCTCTCACTAGAACTGCCCTTTCACTAATGCTGCTCAGAAGGTCAAAGTTTCTTCCGTAAAGCAAGGTGAGTGCATTGGATGTGTTCAGGAGCAAGGTGTGTGAAGGGGGCAATGGCTGTGCTCCATCAGCAGAGATAGCAGTGAGGTGTTCAGGCACTTCTCCAAGGACCTGGGGAGAGCTCTGGCTTTCCCCCTTCATTCAAAGCTCCCTCATTTCTTCCCCTCCTTTTTGCAATTGCGAACAAAAGGTTCAGAAATCTGTGAGGGCAGTGCTGCTGTGATTTACCTGCCCTTAAAGAAACACAACTGGATCAACCAATTCCCTTCACACACGCTGAAAGACGTAATACCAGTCTGGATTACCACAGAGGAGCGAAAAGCCCCAGTCCATTATTTGATTTCCTACTTCTCCGTTTAAGAATGGGAAAATATTTTTTAATTAAAATCCTTTTCTTGACATGCCAGCTCTTCTACTATTCATTCATGCCACATCAGGAAAGTCGGCCCCGAGCAGGATTCGACTCCCAGTGTGTTACTACTAAGGGGCAACATTATGCAGCCAGAACTTGGAGCAGACGTGTGAAACCATGCAGCCCTTCCTGCACGCCTCTTTCATATCTATTGTCTATTCTCAAAAGTCCTGTGATGCCTTAGACTGGGATCCTGGAAGCCCTTGCATTACGTATGTTCTTTGTGATGTCCTCCAGTTCAGTTTCTACTAAAAACACAGACTGTGTTGGTGCAACAGCCTATCAACACACTTTGTCAACGTGGCACTTCCAATGGACTTCCAATGGCACCACTTTCACCACACATCGACCTGTGCTACGCTGACATCCTCAGCACTCACTTCCATCACTTCCACCACAGCCAAACACAGATTGAGCCAACCAGCGGAGCACACCTGGAGTTAAACAGACAAAAACTCAGCCCACGAAATTCTGCAACCCTGCATAGTGTTCACGTGCAAGCTGGGCAATGGTAGCACGCCAAGATGACTACTCAAAGGCACAGTTTTCTTAGCTGCATAATGTGGTTCTAATACACAATCCTCATGCCTTGCTCTGGTGTTAATCATTAATCAACCCAACAACGGTTGGTGAATTTTCTTGTTAAAACTTTCTGTCATTTATGACTACTCGTAGGCACTGTGTGATGGAAGTGGGAGGTTTTGTGGGGAAAAAAAGAAAATCTAACGCTGTAGAAGACAAAAAATGTGAAATAATCTCCAAGACCACCCATTAAGATAACAGAAGTCTGCTTGGTTTGCCTAAGAGCTGCCACTAATGGGATGCAGAGCAATCCATGTATTACCTTCTACCCAATACTGCATATATTCCACTTCTTTTCCTCCTTAGAACCAGTAGAGAAGCTTTATATAGAAAACAAGTGAATTGTAGAGAACAAATTCAAAGGAAATACACACTTTGTAAAAATGTGGGGATTTTTGTGGCTGCGTTGGCAGTCAAAGGATCGACATCAAACTCAAGACAATGTGTATCCATAATATATTCAAAACAGCTGAAGAGGTTACGCAGTTCTTATCATCACAAATCCGAGAGCCAAAAATTAACTGATCGCCTTATTGTGGGTTTAATACCTAAAATTCCAGTTTAATAAACTTCTACCTGCTACTGCAGAAGTTTAATAGCGACGAACACGAGTTAGGAAAACGATTTTATAAAAACTGGCTGAAATGATTCAGTGCAGTTTAGTGTGATATTTTGATAAAACGCATTCGGATCTTCACTTCAGCATGTGCCAACCTGTCTGCAGGACAGAGAGAACATTCACAGGTTTTTGTTTTTTTTTTTTCCTTTACTACAAGAGCTGCCAGCAATTGGCCCTGGTTGGAATGCACACCACAGCCATCTGCTCCAGCCAACACGGTGCTGGCAATGAGCAGCTATGGGGCCAGAGCCCCCAAAAGGCACGGCCCAAATTGCAGAAGAATCAGGGATTTCGTGGCCAGCTCAAAATACAAAATCCCACGCATTTTTTTTTTCTGTCTGGTTCACGAAATAAAAATTGTTAGGGACTGATAGCCTACTTCTTCCACACGGTACTAATAAATTTCAGCTCGTTTTTCTTGTCTGCTTTTAGCAAGACTTATTTAGTACCTATAGAGCACATAAATTATTTACGTTTACCAAATGATGGTGTGAGCCATCACAGCAGCTTGCTGCTTACATTACCACTGCCGGTGCAACAAGCAATTCCTGAGAGTTAGGAGAACTTCTTGTTCTGCAGAAGACGACGCCTGCCTTTAGTGCACTCAAGGCAACGTGGTGGCAGCACGAAATTAAATGCTTTGTCTCGAGAGAACAGCACTGACTTATAACAGCAGAAGCAGGACCAGTCTGAGATGCATCACCAAAAATAAATATATCTCCAAGGCGATTAATCTACCGTCTGTCTGATATATTAAGAAATAAATCCTCCCTCCTTCTAACCTGGATAGTACTTTCGGGGTGGGCCTGAGCACTTTGGTCATAGCCAGGATCTTTCAGAAGCAACAGGTCGTGAAGAGAAGGAAGGAGAAAAGTGGGAGCAGAAGGGAAGCGCGGAGGAAGGCGGTCGGAGCCTTACCGTTGTGAAACGCAAAGCAACGCAGCGCCATCCAAAGAGGAACCCAAAACAAAAATCCAAACCAGCACCGAAAAACCCCAAAACGCCCCCATCTCGTTTTCCTGAGCCCTCAAAATTGAGTGCTTTCTCCGGCTACGCGGTACCCATGAAATATAAAACCACCCTAATGGTCGCCCAGGTTACCGACTTCATTTAGTTAATCATCACCACTATTACCAACGTCCAGGCCTTGAGAAAAAAAGGAAAGAATGGCTGAAGAGGAGTGGAAAACAAGGAACTTAAGTGAACCCCACCCCCTTTTTTTTTTTTTTTTTTACACATCAGGAACAATTAGATTTGTACCTGCATTACCTCTATTTCTCCTCCCCTTTTCTGCTTCCTCCCCCACTTGTTTCTCAAAGTTCCCCAGCCCTAAAACAATGGGGTATCCATTAATCGGGTATCAGATATGCCGGGGGGACACGGAGGTGCCCGGCTTTGCCCAGGCAGCTGCAGGTCCGGAAAGGAATGCAGCTCCAGTGGGGGGAAAAATTACTTGTTGGTTAACCTGCAGGGTGAGCCTTAATCAATAGGCACGGACGATGAAAAGAACAAAGCATGTGAAACTTAAGCCTTTATATCTCGAGCTCCATCAGATAAAAGCTGTACCTGGAGCTGGAAAGGACAGCCAGGCTTAGCTGGGAGCTTAAACGCATCAGCACGATCCAAGTTGTTTCAGGAGTTGACTTGGCTTATTGATCGCCATTCCTTCCGCCACCACCAAAGATTAAAATACAAAAGTAAGCCTCTAATGCTGACTTACCAGACTCTGACGACAGAGCCCTTAAAAGAAAAACGAATGAATGCGAAATGCGCGTCCCGACTGTAAAATGTGATTTCCTCAGGCCACTTTCCCCTGCCCGAAATATGGTAAGGACATTCTAATTAACTTGTTTTGCAAACAAAATGTCCAACGAATTAACATCTGATTGCGCTCGTATTTTACGTCCAGTTTGCTTTTTTTTTTTTTTTTTTTTTTTTTTTTTTGCAATTTGAAATCCCATTACATGCTTTGTTTTGTTAGAAATGTAGAAAATTATCACTTTCTACATTTCACCCCCCCCCCAGATTAAGGCCAGGAAGAAAACCCTGTTTCCTACATGAGCAAACCTCCACACAAAAGGATGTTTCCTTTCTCCTACATGAGCAAACCTCCACACAAAAGGAGAAGCCTAGGAGAGTTCTTACAGTTTTATGGCTGTCTCATAGAAGCGACTTCAAAATGCTACCATCAGCTGGGATGTGGTCATAAAAGTGTATTTTAATGTGCCCTTTCATTCACTCTGGGCCCGATTAAATTAAAAGCATTGTTGTGGGGAGGATTTTTCTTTTCATTCTGAAATGAAGCTTAGCTCCATTTTTATACAGCAGCCTGCATTGGTAAATCTGTGTCAGCAGGTCAGGCCAGCTCCGGGACCCACAGCCCTCTGAGCTCATTCCATACATAGAGCAGCACTGCAGTTGGTGTTAACAAGGGCAGGAGAAGCACTGAGCTCCTGATCTATTGGAAATACTGTATGGCATCACTTTATCTGGCAGATGGAGTTTGCTGCTGGCCACCCCCAGCTCTCAGGTGCCAGGTTTGTATGTTCTGACTGTTAGCATTCCTGAAATGTACTAATACAGCCATGATGGTAATGGCGAGTAATATGATTATTCTGAGAACTTACTATGCCTTCACCAGGCTCGTTGCTTGCAGGGCAGAATGGGAGGAGGAGACAGAACTCAGAATTTAGCTAATATTTCCCCAAATCCTGGCATTCCTGTGCTTTTCTTTTAGTTGCTTCAATTTAGTTGCCCGTATGTCAAACGGTGCCTTTTAAGAGCCGGGATTCTCATTCAGTAATGAGTTCTAATAATTCAGTGATTAAATTAATTAATTTTGAGAGCCCTTAAGACGCCCACGAGTGAAGGTACTTGCAGAAGTCTTGCACGTACCACCTCCATCTCCGCGTGGGTGCTGAGCTCACAGCCGCAATGCCAGCTAAATTAAAAGAGGGATCAAAACCAATTAGAAGGACTGAGGCTGGTACTGAATTCGAAAAGCCAACAGGAAATGGATAAAAGCTCATATCTGGCTTGGTATTTCTGCATAAATATGGCATGATTTTTTTCAGTCGTAATGCTGTTCCCTGAGACTCCAGCAAGCGCAAACTGATCTTCTGTCAGAGCAGTCCAGAACAAAGCAAAGCCCTCTAACTTTTGTCTTTGAAAGGAATATGGTTTAGGTAATAATTGCAATTACAGGGAGAAGATATAGGCAAGAATAAAAAATAAAAGTCAAGAATTAGCCTCAGCGAAACGGGGGGAGTAAGTAATCTAGCAGCATTTCCTGCAATTTTGACAAAATTTTTCAGAAATTAAAGACCTTTTAGAAACCAATCCAATCTGGCAGCATTCAATCAGGGCAGGCTCAGCTCCCTGGCTCGGACAAGCCCCATCCTCTAGCACTGGCTGGCCCAGCTCGGAGCCTCGCAGAACCTTCTCGAAGGCCGTTTGACTGGAGGGGTGGAGGGACCGCGTGAGCAAACATTTTCTGCTGACTGCAAAGTGTCTGCAAAGCCAGCCCAGCTCCTCTTCCTGAACCGGGCGGCTGCATTGCACACGCAGCCTGCTTGCTTACAAAACACCTCTCTCTCCTCATCCAAATTTACCACGTCAACAGCGTCGCCCACCAGCTGCCAGCCCAACGAGGAGCCAAAAAGGAGCTTTTTGGGTGCCTCCATCTTCCTGTCTGTGGGACCAGCCCACGAGCGAGCTCGCGCCTCACCAGGCAGCCAAGAGCTTTGTTTTGTCTCCTGCTCCCCGGTGTCCGAGCAGGCAGTGCAAGCAAGGGCTGGTTGGGCTGGCACCGGGCCCAAGAGCAAGGAGCCCTAATGGTGCTCTTTTGGTCGTGCACACACACACAAAAAAGCCTCGGGTAAGAAAAGAATAAACAAAACGAACCCAAAATGGCTCCTCCGTGCCGTGAGCGGAAACTGATGGGTGAGGCAGAGAGAGACCTTCCCTTTCCTTCCCTCTCAGCGAGGTGGTCTGAAAAGTTCCAAATCTCCTTCCTTCACTTGCAGCTGAGGAATTAATTCTGGCTCCCAGGAGCCCGCAAACATACAGCTAAAACAAGAGGGTTGGGCGTTTTGTAATTGCATTGTAAAATACAACGCATTTGTAAATGCATTGTAAAATACATTAAGATGGCAGTTGGTTCAGAATCAAATTGAAAAAATGGCAATCACCACAAAGAACAGGAAAAGGAGCCCACAGCGTGCTGCATTTCAAAGGTCACCATGAGCACTGCCCAAGCTGGGTCCTCGTTGAGGTGCAATGAGTCTGCTGGGATGGATCTCCCTAGTTTTATACCATCACTTTTCAGCTGCCATAAGCCTTCTCAGATGGAGTCTTTTTTCCAAGCTCTCCAGGACACCTGGGTGAAACTGGCTTTCCCCCATGGCTCCCTCCTATTTGGTTTCTTGGTTCTGCTCTGCCTGCCCTGACTGGTTTGGCTGGTTGGAAAATGAACGCTGGATTCATGCGCCGCTCCCCCTCCCCCAGAACTGAGCAGACAAAACCTGATCCCGACAACAAAACCCTCTTTAATCCACCTGGGGAGAAAAGGAGGAAGAGAAAAGAGGACAGAGCCCTGCGAAAAAGTGGAGAGGAACGAACACAGGTATGAAAAGCATTGAAGAAGTCACGCCGCGTGCTGCTCAGATCATTGCTACCACAGTACCTGGACACCGTGGCTTACCAGTACCATGAACACACACACGGTTCATGCAACTTCGGTGCTGAACGCACAGCACCTTTTCCCAAACCAAAATCACCAGCCTTCCAGAGGGCAACCAAAGGGACGCAGTGAGCATCGCGGGTGCACGGCAGGGCTTCCATCATCTTCTGATCTTCCCGTGTCCTGGAAAAGACGAACTCGAAGCGAGAGGCGTTCGCAGCGGAGGGAGGAAAAATAATAATAAAAATAGAACTAAACCTGGAAAAAAAAAAAAACCGAAAAACACAAAACGGTATCAGCCTACCGAAACCTAACCAAATTTAAAAAAAAAAAAAAAAAAAAAAAGGAAAGCAAAAAAAGATTAAACCACGCGTGGCTTTCTTCGCAGCCCAGAGCTCTGCTGCTTGTTTAAGCTGGAATTGAGAAGAGACGGCGAGTGTCTACGGGCTCGTCTTACATGTAGTCCTTCACCCCTCCCTGCGCAGGTGCATTCCTTGCGCCCAGCCAATCTGCGGCCGCTGGCCCCCAACAGGTGTGTCCTCCGTGGGGAGCGGCTGGCCGGGCCTCAGCCCTGTGCCGAGGCGGCCTCTCTGGGGGCACTCAGCCTCCCCGCTGCTGTCTCGAACAAAGAATCGATTATTTACCGAGCGTGGGCTCCGATCTGCTGCTCCTGCTCCACCTCGCGCTCCTCCCGTGCGCCCCGAATGTTGGAGTGATGCGGAGCTACCGGTTCGGTGCTGAGAAATACTGCAGGACTGTTCGTCGTCCTGTTGAAGGAGAGATGTGATTATTTAACCGAAACCCACCTGGGTCGCCTCGCCTGCTGCGGCAGCGCATCGGGTGGGTTGGTGATTGCTTTCCCATGCGAAGGATGTAACATGCACGCAGGGGCAGCACTGGGCACAAAGAGATGCAGGGACTTTCTGTAGGAAAACAGCAGCGTGGATCCCACCATCATCTACTCTTGGCACACGGAATAATTCCAGAAACTAGCAAAGAATCCAACCAGAACTCCACTGCCCTGCTATGCAGGCTAGTAATAGCAGAGGCCCACGGCTGGATTCATAAAATCATAGAATGGCTTCAGTTGGAAGGGACCTTAAAGATCATGCAGCTCCAACCAAGGATGCCAACCACCAGATCAGGCTGCCCAGGGCCCCATCCAACCTATCCTTGAATTCCTACGTCCTTTCAGGGGTACCACGACTGAAAACCCAACAATCTCAGCACACAGCAGCTCAGACTGCTGGTATTCACTCCTAGATCAGTCAGATAGAAATTCCATTCTCAGTGCTGACAAAAATCCCTGCTTCCCCTTCCCTGCGCAGAATGCTACTGGGATGCTGACAAGCATTATGTCTCTTCCACGACATAACCTTGTTTTGAAAGTGTTGAGGGATGTGCAGAAAGGGTTTACATGATTAGGACTGAGCACTAGGACTGATTGGTAACAGCACTTAAAACAAAGCCAAACAGTGACTTTCTGCGGAGCATTTTTAGCCCCTTTCAAGGAAGTTTTCCACAAATTCTCAGCAGCGTCGTGAAAAAAAAGAAAAACAAGTGAAATGTTTTCTCCTTGTTATGAAGGAAGCACTCATATTTCCCATGGAAGATGTAGCTAATGAAACAACACATTATCATGTTAATTAACCCAACTGGCAGAAGAATTCCCCTAAGAAATGACTTATCCTCACGGCTAACTCGAGAGAAACCTTTGGTTGCAGAAGACTGATTTATCCTGCAAGGGTTTCTGCAGTTTGCAGTTTGATTATGCTCTCGGCTGTGCTTCTGACCACGCTGCCTTTTTCCTTTTCATCTCTCCCTTGCTGGAGCTGCAGCTTCCAGACACACGTTGTTACCTGGGACAAATCCAGCCCACAGCATCTGGAGGAGAAATTTATGCCTGTGGTATCTGATCCTGCATTTGTGCACTCTAAGAAGAATTTAAAAGCCGAAGTTAATAAATAGCTTTCCAAATACAGCGTTTCAGCGCCCGATTCGTTGGCGGGCGTAGTTAGCATAGATAGCATCTAGAATCTATAGGAAACTACCAACCTCCTCAGCACTGTTCCCCAGTGGGATAAATGCACCGTGACTGGGAGGTGGGACGCAGCCCCTGGGGCACGGCTGAGCTCTGTTAGCAAAAGTGTGATGCAAACCTGGATCTCACCTCCCCCAGGCCAACCGAACCAAATTCACACCTTTCCCCCTCTGTGCAGCACAAGCCACCCCTTCCATCTCCATCCTATCTGTTTAACAGCCTGGAAACCACTCCTTTGCCACATGCTCCCAATCTCTTTTTTTTTTTACTTCTTTCAGGACCCTATCAAAGCCAATCCAAGCTTTGAGTAACGGTCAATAAACTCCACATGGTTCCAACCCAAGTGAATGGGATGCCTGGCAACTCTACCACCCAAATCCCATTTTCCCACAATTGCATTTTTCTGTCCTCTGTTCATTTATTGCTTTCTACCTGGCCTCCAGGGGTAACACAGAAGACTGAGTTTTGTGACAGAATAAATCAACCATATCTTTCTGCAGAAATGCCTGCAAACGAGCCTCTCTGTTATCACAACAACAGCAGCACCAAAAAACTTATTATCAGCAATAATCTGCACCCTGGCCTTGGTTAGTACACAAGAGCCATTTGTTTGCAAACAGAGAATATTTACATACGACATACTTGTTTGATGGTAATCCTAAACCCTTCTCTATCATCTCAGTCCTACCCGAGTGTGGCTGTTGTACCTTGCTTCAGGCTGGTTATTCTCTCATCTTTTGCACACTAGAAGCTGCATGCCAGGGAGACTTTCATCCGGCACCGTAATGAGGCCGATGCTGATTTTGTTCTTTGACATCCCTAAAGATCCCCCTTGACAATCTCATGTGTGTTAATGCGACGAACCTCTGACCTGTCTCTGGGATGAGTCTCAGCTTAGTGTCTGGGATATTATTCAGCCTGCATACCTTACAACAGTCATGATGTTGGCTTGAAGATGTCCGTAAAGAACAAGCACACTGTTCTCTATGGGAGGAATTGAACCAGAGAGATTAACAGAGCTGAAGTGTCTTAAAATCATACAGAAGAATCTGCAGTAGAGCCAGAACATCCACGCGATTACGTTCCAGCCCAGTGCTTTGATTTTTCATACCTTCCTATTTCCATCAGTACAGCTATTTACAGCCGGAGGATTACACTGCCATATAAGCCTGTGAAACTGAAAACAGTTTTCAATTCTATTCTTCAAAAGTTGTTTAACTCCAAACAGTCCTTTTATATCAGAAATAGTTATGTACCGGTTGGACTCAGACCTACCCAACTTCCCAATAAATGATTTACAGCATAAGAACATTAAGGAGGGGACTAAGCCATTCAATACCCACTGGTGCCTTATAATGATCCAGCCAGCTGAGCCTCTCCTATTCTTTTCTAATGCAGCAATAGTAAACAAATGGTTTCCCATGTATGCTGAAGTGAGATTTCACAACAGCCTTATGGCCTCAGAAAGTCAAGTTGCAACACAAGAGGTGACACCACCAGGCTGGACAAACCCTTGCCTACCTTCTGTATCTATTTATTCATTTATTATAATTCCAGAAATGTAAGCTACCTAAGACATGGGATTTAATTCCTGGCACGCTGTAATGATGTATTCCTGCTGAAGGTGTTGGCTCTGCGCTTTATAAACCTCCGTGAAGTACAGCAGAGAAGACCTTATTACATATTTTTCATCTTTAAAAAGATTAATGTGCAGCTTGTTATACACCTACTGCTGAAACGTTTGTTTCTGTGGTTATTGGAACAAATGGGCTACATCTGGGCAGCAAGCAACCAAATGCTCACATTAATAATTCCTCCTCGGATAAATGCAGATAAGCTAAAGCAGACAGGAACCCTGCCCCCAAAATCACCCCACACTCAGATACAGATCCACACCACAGGATGTCACTGACACCAAAAGTTTGGTAGGAAGCGGATGCTCACATTAAAAAAAAAAAACAAAAAACACTGCTGTAGGGAATGGCTTTGGACCGGATGATGAAAGGATGCAAACGCTCCTCACCACGCAGTTCAACTGGAGCACTGCTTGCTTTGGGAAGGAACATCTCCTGTCAACAAACCATCTCACAGCCATTCTTCTTAGCAGCTCATTCCTCTTTCTTCTCGATATAAGTCCCCATTATGTACTTGTGGAAAACAGGCTGCCGAGCACACTGGACTTCTGATCCAATATTACAGCTCTTTGTTCCCCGCGCAGCTCTGCAGGAAGGGGTCACCCCGGGGCAGATCCATACAGGTGTTCACTCTTTTCATCTGAGGGCTGTAGACAGCAGTATCACTTCCTGCATCGCCTCCATCTCTTTCATCTCAGTACCTGTGCTCAGCAGCTCGTTGCACAAACTGTAGAGTTAAAGGCACGAGATTAAGCACGCGGAATCCTTGCACCTCGTTTGCTTGTGCAGTGAGTGCCTGTGCTCGGCCCAGCACTGGGACAGTTGCAGCAGCACACCTTGCTGCAATTACTAAATTCTGGGCAGATGGGCGAGTCCACTCCACGGGAGGCTGATATGTGAAACTGAGCCGTGTTTGCGAGAGCAAAGTTCAGCTCAAGGCACCACCTGTCAGGTCAGGAATAGGAGTCATAGCAGGAGGAACCTTCCATGTCTTAACAAGTTAAGCAAGCAAAGGAGGAGGGGAGAAGTGCATTGCTCTTTGCAGCGGTACAATAACCTGGAGGGACAGCTTGCATGCAGCCAAACGTTGCAGCTAAAACATGTTTTGCCAGTGGTGGTGTGTAAGGTCACAGGTACGTTTCACTGTTTCTTTACTGCTCCAGAGATGACACAAGCTGTGGGCAGGCGAGTTTATTCGAACACGGAAAGAAAGTTTTATAATCTTGCAATCCTTACCTTCTGTTTGCCCCCTCTTTGTAAACACATCAACTTAAGGCCAACCGTCCGATCTCCTGGGTTTAAATTGCGCTTCCGTGGGGCAGAAGCTGGTGAAAGAGGGAAAGGTAAGGCATCCTCCCTGCCCTACCCTGTACACAAGCATAAAAACCTTACCCTGGCACCAAAGAGAGCCCCATGGGCTCTTCCTTTAATCACTTCAAGGGGCCCAGTCTGCGGTGTTGTGGTGGGTATCCCTGGTGTAACCAGTTTGTTAAGAGCCAGAAGAAGCTTTCTGGCTCCAGTCAAAGCAAACGGAGGAAAACCAAGAGCCTACTGACGGTGTACTTCAAACGATGCTGAGCCCAGGTTTGCTCACCTTCTCAACAGTCAGTTCAACACATGAATTTTGAGAATCAAACTTTAAAAGCCTTCCTCAAAGCCTTGCTTGCGGAGACGCTGTGCAGCAACCTTCGCCAAACTCAATTCCCTTCTTTTCTATCACCGGTGCCTACGCTGAAGCCTTTTCTGTGGTCATCCAACCCACGTCATCTTCCCCCAGGGGAAGGTGGAAGGGGTCCCTACGCTCGTGCATGAGGATCTGAATGTTTCTGTCTTTCCTTCTGGCAGTTACCTGCCCCTCCTTGATGCCTATTATCCAGCACAGCAGCCTGGCACCTGGGTTTGCCCGGACTCCCATCTGCCTATTCATCATTTGGCCACAGTTGAATGAAAAGAAGAAGAAAAAAAAAAAGGGAGGAGGGGAAAAAAAAAAAAAAAAAAAAAGGAGAGAAAACAAAGTCTTTCATCTTCATAGCAGCAAGATTTCAGATCTAAAGAGCTGGGGCTCTCAGCTGCTTTAAATTGAGGGTTATGGCTGCCAACTGCCAATCTGAAGCTGCATATTACCTTTCATCCAGTCCTGCGTTGTTCAGGCCATAGCTTTTCTTGCCTTTTGTTTCCTCTCGGATCGGTTAAGTGGAAGCAGGTGTTTTCCTGCCCTGCTAATCTCTGGTACATTCAGGCAGGCCCAGCAACTGGGCAGGTAAATGGAGCCTGGTGGCCACGGCTGCGCTTCTGCAAGCAGCCCTGACAAATGTTCTCCCTTCTGTGTGCCCTTCCAGTTTGCGTTGTCTCCCTCATCACTCTTCCTCTTCACACGGACCTTTGCTCTGGAAATATGGATTTCCAGAACCAAGTGAGATTGTGAGCTGCTCAAGTGGACAGGCCAAGTCTGGCAGGGCTGGGTGAGCCTGCAAGATGTGGATGAACCCCAGTACTGTGGTCTAAATGCAGGAATGCAGGCAACAGCTGCAAATCCCATGCTACTGCTGGAATGATGGACTGACTTCCTCAAAGACTATAGCATGTACTGTAGGTAAAGGGAGGCCGAGAGAAAACTCAGCTAAGATCACACAAGGAGGAAGAATGGCTCACATGCTATTTGTCTATACATGCCTATCAAGAGCTAGCAGCAGCAGCCAAGCTCTTCCAGCTGTCGCAGTCCAGCAAAGAAACTCTGAACATTGATCTGGTTTCCTTCTCCTCACCCACAAACTGTGTCTTTTCATGAGTGCAAGCAGTATTCCTTTTCCCTTCGCACCAGCTTAATATATAATCAGGAACCTATTGGGCAACCAAGTGGCACTGTCAACATCTCTGCCCACACAGAGACGGTTTCCATTCCAATATACGCTTGCTGGTTCAGACAGCAGTCAGAGAAGGAGCAGATCTTTCCTAATTGCATCGTGTGACAGTGCAAACAGAGCCCTGACTTCACCACCGCCTCGTGCCAGGAGCGCTACCAGGAGAGTCAGCACCTTCCTCCCGCTCGCAGTGCAGAGCTGGTGGCATGCAGGCTTCTGAATCATCAGCCCACGGTACGGCTCCGTGAGTAAGCGTCTCCCTCCCATTGGGCTTCCATTACGTGTTGCAACAGCTTTGCGTGTACCTGCTTTCTTGAAACCCTCCACCTGGCAAAGCTGATGAATCCACGGAGGAAAACTGATGCGGCAGCAACATCGCCGCATCCCCAGCGCAGCACCGTGTTGCTCGACCCTCCATCAGCCTACAAACAGTAGAAAGAAAAGAAACGGTTAAAGACACGCAGTTCACTGCAGCCCAATTTTAACGTTTCTATATTAAGTAAATAAAGTCAACATAAAATTCAGGTCAGGAACTATTTGTTCAGGGTCAGGTGACTTCAACTCAGCTAATCAGGGAGACACACCTTTCCTTTTGAACAATCTTCCACTTGAGATCTGCAGTTAAAAACAGGTTTGCTGCAGATCAAGTCAGTGAACTGCAGCACAAGTACCCACAAAAGTAGAACAATGGGCATAATTTTCACTCCCAAGAGCAGGCAAGCTCCAGATTACAGCAAGAGCAGGAGCAGAATCTCGCAATGCAGAGCCGACTGCAAGATCCAAAACGTACCAAAAAGACCCTAAAAAGTTCTGTATTCTTGGGATCAGTGGGAAAAAGCCCACCCAGCTGAAATCTCGCTTTGAACAATGTTGGCTACGTTATTACATCCAAACCTGCTCACTCTGAGGACTGCAGGAGTTTCGTTGTTGACTTTAGGAAAGCACATCTAGGGATGGCCAACTTGGGTACAACTTTGGCTGGCCGCTTCCTTCCCTGCACACTGTGGTATGGCTCATGGCTGTGGCATTGCTCAATCCCTCATAGCTTTTTTCCATATCTTTCCCACGAAATTCAAAGCCTTGTTGCACCTTCCTCGCCGAGGTTTGCTCAGACCACACGCAGAAGCTCTCTCCTCTGTTTGGAGCAGCTCTGAACGCGCAGGAAGGGCCCTGGCAGCTGCACTGAGACAGGTCCTCAACAAGTCTGCCAAGCTGGGTTCTGAGAAGTTCCCTGCTCTTTTCCCTGTTCAAATAGCTCCAGATAAGCAAACGTCCTGAGCACTGTTGAGCCTTGATTCACACGCACAACACAGACGACTGTCATTGATATGCAATTCCCTGTATTTCCTACCTGCAGAAACCAACTGAGAGGAAAAATGAACCCCCTTCTTAAAGACGGGGTCCTTGGGGATTATCTCTAAGCTGCTGGTCTACGTTGCCAAGATTTTGGCTGTGCTGCTTTCACATGCCAAGCCACAGCAGCAGGCGATGCCTGCATCACACTTAGACGTGCCTGCAGAGCTGCTGCTGTTTTCCAGTGCTGCAGGAATACCTGCTCCCAGCTCTGCAGCACCAGGTGCAGAAACCAGTCGCATTACCTGAAAGCAACACACCTCCCTCCTGTCCCTTGCAAGAAAAACACAACTGAGCGATTTCAAACCTCTGACCCTGCAATTTGTAACGATGATAAAGTGATGCAGCAAAAGAAACAAAACCTCGTCTGATTTCTGGCTTGATGCGTGCAACCATCTCCCCTGACACAGAAATCCGTGCAATGCTGAGCAAACACACCGCCTTCCTGAGCAGCTTTAAACCTCTTGTTTCCTGGTGTTTTTTTTTTTCGCTCAGGTCTGATACAACAGGCTGGTGTTTAAAACAGCAGACCACTGCGTAGCAAAAACAGACCTAACACCCTGACCTGCCTCCTGTTTCGATCAGCAAAAATCAACTGCATTCAGCCCTAACTGCTAAGAAACGCTTTAAAATTGAAGAAATCCAAACAGTCTGCCATGCCTTATTGGACAGGTGACTCCGCTGCTTTGTTTTGTGCAAATTATTTCTGGGTTGGGCTGGATATGCACATGGATTGTTTGATTACTGGTCTGGGGTGAAGAAAGGTGCTGTCATGCTGAGCTGGGGTTTGCATGGCAAGGGCAGGAGGGCTCTGCAAGAACAGTGAGTGGCTCAATCCGAGCCTCCTGAGCCACGTTGGGATTTTCCTAGAGCCATGAGAGCTGAGCAGACCTTACGCATCTGCAGAAGCTGCAGCACTCACCTGCACGCTGAGGTCAGTGCAGATCCACGTCCATGGAGACATCTGGGTGGGCAAGCAGCCACGGAGCAGCCACCATCAGAAGGGGAACCCATAGAGCAGTGCAGAGAACTTGGCCTTGGGAATGGAGTCTTCATGATGGAAGTGGGATGCAAGGGGTATTTCAAAGCCAATTCGCCAGTGCCACACGCAGCGTCTGTAAAAATGAGATGACCTCATGAGCTCGGCCAATCTCTAAACAACATTAGTGTGTGAGCATGCAGAGCAGAGACGGTGTCTGGAGGGGTCAGTCGCAGGTCACTTTGCTGAGCAACGCAAACCTGTTTGGCTCAGAGCATCCCATTGCTGTGGCAATGCCTGGCTCAGCATCACAGTGTGCAGCCACTGCTCTGTGCCTGGCGACCAGCTGTGTCTCAGTCCAAGGGCCCTGCTGCCAAATCCCTTTGCTGGTGTGACACAGGCAGAGGTTTTATGCTGTGAATACTTGGGAACGCCAAGCACAGGCGCTGCTTCGTGGCTGGTGATGGACCTTTTTGAGATTCTAATGGAAGTTTCAATCTGAACCTGTCTTTAATGTAAGGATGGAGGGGGGAGAGGGCCTCTCCTTATAAACCCTGGTTACCTGCTGCTATCCACACTGTTGGCAACAGCATCTGTTTCAACAGGTAAAGCAGGCTTAGGTAAGTCCAACCAATTCTGGAATCCTGAAAGAGTTCCTGAGACGTGGAATAACTCCAAAAACACGTGAATGGATGATCAATTATCCTGATCATTTAACTTCGACGCAGACTTGCCTGCTGACATGGAGCAGCATTAGCAAGGCAGGTACAGAGTAGAACAAGCATGCTACCTGATAGGGTACCTTTTAGATCTATTTTATACAGTTTTTAGACAGTGAGTGTATCATCGGGTTGAATATGAGGAAGAATTTCTTCTCTGAAAGGGAAGTGATGCATTGGCACAGGCTGCACAGGGAGGTGGGGAGTCACTGTTGTGGAGGTGTCTAAGGGAAGGGTGGACGTAATGCTGAGGGATGTGGTTTGGTGGGCAGTGCTGGTGGTAGTGGACGGTTGGATTGGTTGATCTTAGAGATCTTTTCTAACCTGAGTGATCCTATAATTCTGTCGGAGTAAGAGGTATCAAGCCTCAGAGAAGGGGTCAAAAAAGAAAGGCTTGAAAGAATACCTAAATGTGGCATGGATGATGCCTGCAAGAAGAGAGCGTGCACTACAGCACTGCAGTTCTGCAGGAGCTTCTGGAACCAACACAGCCAGCGATGAGTGAGCAAAATGCCATTTGTAAAGCAGAGATCAACTTTGCATGGATCATTCAAATGAGGAAACCCAGCAATGCTTCGCTGACTGCACATCTGAATGCCAAATAGTAAAACCAATAAATACACAAAATAACTTCTCCAACCTGGTAGATGTTAGGAAATCGTAGACTTTACAAACTGTACGTTCAATATTAGAGGTGTGCTTAGCAAAGTTACACTTCTCAGCTCTCCAACAGGAGACCGACGCTGATCTTTCTTTCCAATAGAAACAATTTATGGTTATAAAGGACATCAGTCGTACGAATCTCAGACGTTAGCCTGTCCCAAAGGCATTATACTGAAGGAAAACCTGACCTGTTTTTCTTGTAACACGGATTTGTCATTCCAGGAACCTTCAACATAGTGATTTGGGAAATGAATTGTCCTTATATCTCCATCATAGTTGTGGTCCTACACTGCACTGGAAGCCACTGCCTTGGAGATTGCTGCAGAAACTAAGGTGGTCCTTTGTCTGCCAATATAGAAAACCCCTTCACAGAGAGAAATTCATCCACAGTCTCCAAAGGCGCAGCTTTAGACTGAATATGTCAAAATGACCAAAGAAACACGAGCACGCCCAACCACAACATGAAGAGAAATTAAAATGTGGATAGTTCACAGGGAATGTTTGAATACAGCATTAAACCTTGAGATGAAAGATGCTAGAGCAGCACAGAGCAGCGCCGTTGTGCAGCGAGCTTCACTTGACGGCACCATCAGGGAAAGGGATGGAAGGGGGGGGGGAAAAAGGAAAATAAAAGTTTTGCACAAAGCCAAAAGGAGGCGAAGCGTGCCTTGGTGACAGCTGGCACTGCATGCAGAATGAGCGGGCGGGAGGCAGCAGTGGCAGTGCTGGCAGGAGATCTGTGCTCAGTGCAGGAAATGCTTTTTTTGAACGGCTCCTAATTACGGCCCTTCTCTCCCCGCCTGTCCCGTGTCGTGCTGTAATTACAGGAACAAAGCTGGGAAGGGGCTGTTTCTCGAGGAAGAAGTTGTGAAGCAGACACGCAGGAGCAAGATCCGAGATGTTTGCAGACGGTGGGAGCTGTGCCCACGTGTTCTGAGCTGAGGGAGGAAAACAGAGAAATAAAGGAGCAGGGAAAACGCGGTGCCATCCTGCATCTCCTCCGTGGTAGCTGGTTTTGATTTTTTAGATGTTTTTAAAGCTGTCTGTGGCTCATTTCTCCCTCTAAGTCAGAGGGAATGGAAGGGTCAGAGGCACAAGAAGGAGAACACGAGCCACTCCATCGCTCCTTAGGCCCATCTACAGAAGCCTAAAGGCACTGAGTTCGAATTCCTCAAGCGTTTCTTCAGGCTCGACCTCTATCTACCTCCAGTAACAGGTTGGATTCTGACAGTGTCACCATATGGATGGGAAAGAATGCTGCAAAGACCACAGGATTAAAACTTGGAGGCCCCCGGTGCTGCACCACTCCTCCAGAGGCAGCATCCCTCCTCAAACCTGCCTATCACAGACCCTGGGGATGATCCCAGCAGCCAAATCACCTCCAGCTTTCCTTTCTACAAGGCTTACAATTGCCCCTCCAGATTTCTTGCCAGGCTCCCAAAGTTGTGTTAAGTCCCCATCTCCCACCCCTAGCAACGCTGCTCCTGGGTTCAGTTCCACCTGCAGTAATTGGTCCCCGAGGGGCAAGAGGTGGCAGGAGCTTGTGCTGCATTGCAAGGTGTGGAAATGGAGGAAATTAACACCGGCTCTGTTTTTCCATCCCAGTGAATAATGTGATTACTGAGGAGGGGAGAAGGGCTGAGCCTTACATCAGCTGTCAGATGGGGTTGAACCTTTTTTTTTTCCCCTTTCTTTTTAAGCAAGCAGATGGGGAGACCGTTGCATTCACAGCCTGCCCTATACAAGCACAACTCACAGCAGCTTTTGCCAGTGAGAGAGTTAAATAAAATGTTTCTTAAGTCATCAGCACCGCCATGTGAAAAAAACCTAAAAAGAAAAGATCCGGGGAAGAGGAAGGCAGAGCATAACCACAAGTGATGCCGGCATGCCAGAACTGGCTGCTCTGGACATTAGCTGCAATCATGAGCTGAATAAAACAGCAGGACTGAAGTGATCAGTCATAACACATCCTCTTTTTTTTTTTTTTTTTTTTTGAGCTCTCAAATGATTTATCGCTTCCACATCATCCTCATTGATTGAAGCACAAAGCAGGCTATAGGAAATAAAAATAGCAGATATTTAGAGTAGGGTCAGGCTGCTCACAGGTCAGGTGAAGAGATGCAGCTTGTTTTCATCTAGATCTGATTTTAGTGCTGGACGCTGCTATAAAATTTTTCAGAAAAATGAATTCTGCTCGTTTCCTGTGTTTCTTCTTTAGTTCGATGATATCCATGGAGCCCAGCCCTTTGGTTCTTACAGCCCACTCATGTTTAATTGGGATGAAAAAGGCTCACCCGAAAGCTGCTATTTTTCCTGCAGGACGCAGTTCCTTTGGACAGAAGGTCCAGGTGCTGCTGCCCTTCAGTCCCAACACACCTCTGCTGGCAGCTCAGACAGACCTGTGGTGGTTGGGGTGCGATTGCCCTCTGCTTGTCTGGGCAGACCGTGCTCAGCTGCAGCTGTGCAGCATGAATCCAGGGGTAGGCGATGGGAAGAGAAACTTCCCTCCCCTTGCTGTCATCTTGCTAACACCCAACGGGACAAGGAGAGATTTTCACTGGACCCTACTGGGGAACTTTTCTTGCTGTCTGGCAGCTGTTTGTGTGATGGAGAGACTGTGAATTTCCTGCTTTTACCTTCCAGCTCCGAACAAAGCATTCTCTATGTAAAAGGAGCCTCGCTGCCGGTGAAGCAGCTAGTTCCAACACGTCCCTTTCCCTCCTGGCACCCTCCAGGAGCCCCCACAGAAGGGGCAGGGAGTGCAGTTCCCAGCACACCTGAGTCACCCCTCGCCGAGCGCCGGCAGGAAGGGGTGGTGGCAGCTGGGAAGCTCCCGTGAGTCACCGACCAAAGAGGAACTTGGCACCATGTCTGAGCTCTTACTCCTCCCATCGGACTCCTTGTTGAAGGTTGGCCACGGGGGGAGGAAAGGATCATTATGGTGAAAGGTAGTGCATTAAAGAAAAGGAGGAAGAGTATGAGCAAAACCAACTTCTTGCCACCCAGCTGCACGAAAACAGATTTTGGCAGTTCTCCTGAAGCTGTTTTAAGGTTCCCAACATCAGGACTCTTAGGGAGAGGCTGCGGTTTTAAGCTTGGGTACAAGTGTGCAAAGGCATTGCCTTCATTGATGGGACATTTCCAATCTCCTTGTGACCTCCCATACTACCAAACCACTACATGAAATTTACAAAACACCTCACCAAGACATGAATGATGAAGAAAACTACGACTGGTCAGGAATTTTGGCTCGAGTTCTTTCCAAGCAGAAAGCAGTTCTGGAAAACCCTTCAGTAGCCACTAGATAGGGCAAAGCCAGGTGCACCATCCTGCCCTGTGCTGCACGGCGCCCTGTAGGGGAATCCTGGCCTTGACTCACTGCTGAGAAATGTTCACAGACCACAGAGGAGAACAAAACCTTTGGAGGTGGAGACGTAGAGCACACGTGCCCTGCTGTAGGTGAGCAGCGTGGGGTGCCCTGGCTGCTGCACCCTGCTCTGTTTAGAACAGTGCTTTCTCACCGCCGAGCAAATTAGCTAAAATGCGAATGACTGCAACTCTTTACCTCTTTATGGCTTCTTGATTGCTTCATCTGAGACGTCTCGGCCGTGATATTTGTTAATTACCAACTGTCGAATGGAAAACATGACTGGTGCATTATTAACCTTTCGCTAGCTTCGCCGTGCTGTTTGACAAACTTTTCAACCGGTTTCCTCAAAATTAATCATTGTACATCTTAAAGAATGGCAGTAAAATACAGGAAAGTTCATCCTAGCTAGGACAGGCGAACGGGCTCGGCAACCTATCAAGGCCCTCCAGTCCTTTTTGTCATTGATTCCACAGCTTTCTGATCATTTTCCTGCACTGTTATGTAAAAGCTTATTGCACCGGCGTACACGACCCTTTCAATAAATGAAGCAATCATTTGTTAGGCACGTTTTGCTCGCTGTGTTTTTGCTATGTTAGCTGGTGGCAATGTATGAAATGAGTAATAACGCTGTTGATGAATGAACCTGCCAAGAGCCATCACTCATCTTGTGGCTTTCCATCCAACGCTTCTTTTGCTGCTTACAACAAGATGCCACGAAGCAACCCAAACACGATTCAACACTGCAGCATGCAGAATTCCCATTGCAACACAAGAGGTAAACGGGGTCACCAAAGAGACCGCATCTTTCTCTGGCTGTTCTCTTTGCAACACACTGGGATCGTTACGTTTTATTTGCAAAGCAAGACTCATGCTGCAAGGCTTTGAAACATCGTGGAATACACAATTTCACTTTTGCAACCTCACCTGATTCCCTGCAAACTTAAAGAAGCAAACAGAAAAAGGATCAGTGCAGCGTAACTCATTCTGCCCGTACTTTTTATCCAATTGTATTAGCCATTAGCAACAATTTTCACTTAAGGGGGACAGTGAGCCCATAAGAACGCATCAGTGTACTCGTTTATTCTTAAAAGTTTGCTCTCACTTGTTCTTCTATCGCTAAAAATCGTATGTCCAGTGAAAAAGCTGGTGCATGGTACCCAGTGAGAAGTTGGCCGTCCAGTTAATAGCCCAAATCTTGTACCAATTGTTTAAGTCCTCAAGATAAGTGAAAATTAACTGCTTTAATAATTTATTTACAGGTACTTCTGTATCTGCTGCTGGAAGGGTTAAAACCTTATTTCTATCAGACAGAAGACTTTTGCTGGGTTCAACCCCTCCATCTATCTAACCTGTAGCTTATTGACAAAACCAAAAGGAAGCTCCAAATGACAGATGAGCCAATCTGCAGTTCAGAGCTGCAGGAGAATGCTTTATTCTATCAATCATTTAAGGCATGACCGATGAGGGCTCAGTGCAGTTGAATTTGCTGTCCTTTTTTAATGGGTTGGTTATTCAATCTTGATATGCCTGAAGAGCAGGGTTAGCAGCTCGGCTGCAGGTCGGCAAGATCCTGATGGTGGCCCTAAGCCTGTTTGGGTGATGTCTGCCTATAGGTGCTGCTGTTTCTTTGACTCTGGGGGAAGCAGAACAGTAAACAGTTTGTTGAAAACAAAGTACAAAGGAAGGATGGGACTTCCAGATGCCACGTGGCACAGCTGATCCAGCTCTTCTGACAAGGACACGGTGGTCCTAGGTCGGATGGGGCCAAGTCATTGGAATCCACGTCATTTAGATGAGTGTGAGTTTGGAGCAGCTGCTTTTCTAGTGGCCTTGAATTGTTTTAAAGACAAAACCAGTCCATTTAGTGCCTGAAATAAGGGCTTAGGGGATGGTATTCCTCCACGCACCTCGAGAGCTGAGTCCTGCCTGGAGGAGGTGAGATGGGGGAAGAAGAGGTGAAAGAGACCGAAGGAGGAGAAGGAGGTGCAGAAGTTCTGTTTGCACTGATATTTATGCCTTTTAGCTGTAGGTCTTGGGATTTTAAAAAAAAAGTTCTGCCACTGAGTTTAGAGCATAATATTGCAAAACATATCTCGGAACACCTGAATTCTTCTCTCATAGAACCTATGATTTCAGCAGATGCTGGAAAGCGACGTGCCTTTGAGGATGGCAGCCCTCAGGCATAACATCGTTATGGCATGTGTTTAGGAACTGAACTCTCCTTCAGATAAATGGACATAAACTCCAAAATGCCTTCAAATCCGGCAGAGGGGCTTTGATCACCTCTACAAATGGAAATCCAGTTTCTAAATCACTTGGACACTTGAAAATTAGACTGGAGCACGAGCGTGATTGATGGTGATGTTTTCAACTCGCTGATTCAAATGGCTACTCTAGATGAAAAAGGAATTTCAGCTTGCGGAAAACAGGAGGGAAGAGCTTGGAGAAAAGGGCCATAAAACAAATTAACACGGGGCCTCCAGGCATTGGCTCAAAACATTTCATTCCTTAGAGATGAGGTACCTCTGGGGAAACAGAAGCAGCAAAACAAATGACAAATGGAAGCCAAGGGATGCAAATGATGAAACAAGAAGCTGTAAGAAGTCAGGCAGTACTTAAGGGCTGAGATTGGTTTCGTACATTATCCTTAGAGAAGCCCATTTAAGTGTTCATATCGGAAGGAAGTACTTCTACCTGCTTCAGGAGTATAATCTTTTCTTGTGCCTTTATTCTGAGCTTTGTAGGGCACTTGATTTCCTTCTTCTCTCTTCCCTTTACAGATGACTGTAACAATGCGATTTGCCGCCTGTGTCCCCTTAGGGAGCATTCAAATTGTTTCCATGGGTGATTATATTTTTTTGGAACCCTTTCAGGATTTGTTCCATTACATTCGGGCTGTTTTCCAGAAATATTTTAATATTCAAGCAGATATTGCTGCGTTCGTGCCTTCGTTTGCAAATAAAAATCAGAGCTGTGGCAAATCAAGGGAGGAAGCCGTGATTCGAGCTGTACCATTCAAATCACTTTTTGGTTATGAAATGCTGATCACCGAGCCTAGATTAGTTCCGATGGAAGCTGTTGATATTCAGGTGGCCTTTCTTCCTCATTCTCTCCTTGTTTCAGAGACACCTGACAGGATATTAATGTTTAGATATGCAAAATATACCCTTATTTTCAACGTTAATCATCAGAGCTGCTGATTATTTTTTTTTTCCAGTGACTTCTCAAAGCAAAGCTGGAGAAATGCGTTCATGGGAAGATAAGTAAAATGCATGACATTTCTGTCCTTCCACTGAAGGCAGAAGTTAATCTCTTTGCCCTGTGAGTTCAAGGCAGAGCAAATGCACTTTGAAAGCAAGGAGTTAAAGATTGCAGAACGCTGGGGCTGCACCGTACCCCCTGCAGACGTTTCACTCGGCATTTATGGCATACATAGGGGTTTGGGTTCTGTTCTGTTTTCCTCCCACCACCCAAAGGAGAGCCTCTTTTTGCTGCTATCGAGTCCAAAAGGGGAAGAAGCCCACCCACCTCAGAGAGCAGTGCTTCAGCATCCTCACCGCCTGCTAGCAAGACCCAACCATGCCCTGCGTTCCCCCTCAGCCTCATTCCAAAACCTGGAGTTCATCTGTGTTCTGTCGGCCCTGGCTACACGTAGGTCAGCTGTAGTTTCCTCTGCCCTTTCCCCACACGCCAACACAGTTTCCTAACGTTCTGCTTCGATCTTTGGAAGACTGACGTGGCTTGGATGTGGCAGAATAGTTGCCCCGTGCTCACGCTTTGTGGGTCCTGACCCAACTTCCACCAGCGCAGCGCTGCTG